TCTGAAGTGCTCTGCATGAGAATCATTATAATGAATTCTCAATAACTTCTGATACATCACTCTACTATGAGAGATGAAGACTGAATTATTCAGTAGTAGAAGTTCACATTCTTCTAGTTATCAGTGACTTGATTTCTTAGCAGCACTGCTCTGCTCAGAGTCTGTCTCTTTCAAGTTCAAATCAGACTCTTTCTGCTTCAACTTCTGAATTTAAGCTGCAGTAGAGATGTTCTTCTTCTATAACTTATCAATGAATTTTAAAAGTAATTGAGTTGAAAGATTGTAGACTGTTTTATTCTTTATCAATTCAATAATTGTAAGATGTGACATGAGAAGCTCATGATCTTCAGTATCAGTTTCTCACAGAGACTCAGATTCTCTTTCATCTTTTATACTGAGTCATACAGCTGCCTCTTCAGCACTGTTTCTGAGCTTTAGAGAATCTCAACTCTCTGCAGTCAGCTTCTTCTGCAGTGATGACAGAGATTCTTTTATAGAATTCTTCTCTGCATCAATGATATTATAATCAGATTATCTAAATAGTATATCAGTGAGATTAAGCTGATCTGAACAGTATTGAATATAGAAATCATACTCTGAAAGCAGCTTCACTCATCTGGCTTGATATTCTGTTAAGCTCTTTATTATCAAGAAGTAATGCAGATTTGCATAATCAGTGAGAACTTGCACTGAGTACTTACTACTCTGAAGATAATATCATCAGATCTTAAAGAATTTGATAATTATTAATATCTTCTGATCATGAGTATTATACCTTCTCTGCATAAGTAATAACTTCTTGAAGAAGAAGATTACTAATCTTCATTCACAGTGTTTTATAGACTCTGTGAAAAAGTCTTCTCTCACAGATAATTCATTGTCTGTTTTCTCAGAGATGATTATTCTCTGATTCTTTCAATGTTGAAAGATCTCTGATATCAACTGTGAAAAGATTTCACAGATCTCATTTCTGAATGCATCAGTCTTACACTGATTGAGTAAGTCAGAGTTAAAATGATTCAGTATTATAATATCTGTGAAAGCTTGTTTCAATTCTGCAAACACCTGCACAGTGTCTTGAGTGAGAATAAATGATTCTGTTTTTCTGTCTTTCACACTTCTCTTCAACAGATCTGTAAGAGAGACAGTAATCTGTGAATATACATAGATGAATTGTCTGTAGAAATTCATAAATTCTAGAAACATCTGCATCTTGTGATATATTTATGATGTCAGTCAGTTCTCAATGACAGAGATCTGACTTCTGTTTATTGAAATGTCATTCATCTCAATAATATAATCTAAGAAATCAATCTTCTGCATGTAGAATGAGCATTTTTCAGTGTTTGTATAGAGTTAATACTGTCTTAAGCAATTCAACACTTCTTGAACATAGGTATCATGTTCTTTCTCTGTTTTTGAGAAGATTAGAATGTTATTCAAGTATACTATACAGAAGATGTCAACAAGACCCTGCAGTGTCTCATTTATATAGGTCTGGAAGATGGCTGAAGTGTTATAAAGATTAAAAGATAAAACCAGATATTCAAAATTGCTGTACTTGATATAAAAAGCTGTTTTTCAAATATTATCTTCATTAACTCTGATTCTATGATAGATATTCTGTATATCAATCTTTGAGAACATCTTTGCTTTAGATAATCAATCAATCATCTTATCAATCAATGATAATAAATAGTGATTCTTAACTGTTATCTTATTGAGATCTCTGTAGTCTACACATAGATGTAGTCTATCATTCTTCTTGAGTATAAAGAGTATAGATGTCTCTGCTGAACTCTTTGATAAATGTATTCAGTTCTTTGATTGTGCTTCTTTAAGATATTTGCACAGAACATTCAATTTCTTTATAGACAAGTTATAAAGAGATCTGTATAATGCTGTTACACTATCTTCAAGGCAAATTTTATATTATATCTTAGTATCAGAAAACTTCACTGCTTCTCTTTCTGAAAAGACATTCTTAAAATCTATAAAGAGATGTTATGTATGTTCATCTTCAATGATGAATACTGCTGCTAATCTTGCAGTGAGAATGATGACTTTTTCATCTGTTCTCAAGTCTCAATCATCTGCTATACAGTATATTGACTCAATCTTTTTCTCAAGATTCTTCTGATGAAACTCTTCAGATTTCTCTATTACTGTCTCTTTATCAGTGAGGCAGTACTGTCACATCTGAGTGACTCAGTCAATGAGAGAATTGTTTTCTCTCAATCACAGAAGATCTAGAATGATGTTCTCATCTATAATATTAACTGTGTGAAGAAGTAGACTGCTCTTCTTGAAGATTTCTTCTGAGTCTGTGATCACATACTTTACTTGAATTATGTTAAAACAGTGACATTTTATTTCATCAGTAAATTTTACATGATCTGATGAATCTATCTTCTTTCAACTCTTTATCAAAGAAAAGAAATAGAATATGAAGTTAACATCTGTCTCAGAGTTAAGTAGGCATCTCACTGATATCTTCTTATTTAAGATATGCATTGTGATTGTAACATGAACTCAGAGACATGAGAATTATCAATTCTTCATTTCTTTCTCTTCATTATCTTCTGTGAATACATTTATCAGAAGAGAAGTTAACTTTGTGAAGATATCTTCTCAGTTTCTTCTCTTCTTCAGCTTCTTACAATTACTAGTATAGTGTTCATCAGCTCTGCAGTTGAAACAGAGATCTTTATCAAATCTTTTTTAATATTTCTTTGCAGTGAGTGAAGAATTAAAATACTTGAAATTCTTCTTTACTTTCTCTACACTAAAGTCATCACAGTACTATTTAGATTCTGTTATTAATTACTTAGAAGAGATCTTATTAATCTTTTTCTTAAAGAATTAATTATTTAAATAGATTCAGAAAGTTAGATTGACAAGCTCAGTGTGATTGATTAATGAACTCTGATATTATGATATTATTATTCACATCTTATAAGTCAGCTTTGTGAGATAAAGCTGTGTTTTTAATTGATTCAAATTATCAGTTAATTTCTCTTAATATTCTTCAAATCTTGTATTGAAATCAGAAGGATTTTCATCATCTTATTAATGTAATAAGTTGAATCACTGCACTGTTATAAAGCTGCAGTTACAGTGATCTTTGATTTGATTTAGTAGAAAGTTCTTGAATTCTTCTCAAGTCATAAGAGTATTGATATGCTCAAGCTCTCTCTTCTTAATAATTCAAGTAGTTGCAGAGATGCCTTCAAGAAGGTTAGCAGTGTATATTACTTATATCTTATGAGTATTATACTGGCTTAGATTAAGGCAGAATTTCTGTTCAAGAGTACAGATAAAGCTGTGAAATTTAGACAAGATATTTTTCTTATATCTCAGTGAATCTTCAATCTTAATCTCTCTATCTTCATAATAGATGTAGGTGTGTAGAGACTGCAGTGATAACAGAGCAGTTGAAGAGCTCATATCAAAATATACAGCAGATTCAGAAATCTCAGATTTCTGTTAGAGTAGAGATGTACACACTCTAGAAAATAATATAGTGTTTCTTTCAGAGAGTGAGATCAGATCAGTCTCAGTGCAGATGTATAAGATTATATCAGTCTGTTAGAGCTTGACTAATTCAAATGTATAATTAGATTGAGTGATTTAAATTGTAATATAATAGAACTGAAGTGATGACTAGTCAGTGATATTATATAGAGATAATTATTTTAAGAAGCTGTATAAGTGAGCTTGACTATCTTGCTTGAATAGTGAGCTTATAGACTACAGAGTTATTATGAGAATATCACAGATATAATACTTAGTATACTAAGAAGATTGTATAAGATATGCAGTAACTCTTATATATATTTCAGTAGAAGTAAAAGATGAATCACTGACTTCTTTGATAAGAAGTCAGTATCTAGCTATTCTATATAGACAATGAGTAGATACTCTTCTCTTATTTCATGAGTGAGAATAGCTGAAGTGATATCTCAGCAGCATCTTATTATTAAGAAAGAGTAATCTGCTGATCTCATATAGAAGTGAAGTTCTCATACTTATTAATCAGATCTTTCTATGATATATCTGAATAATGTTATAGAGCAGTTGAAAACCAGTTCAGATGAAATGAAATCATCTGTATGAAAGTGATGAGCTGTGTGAAATCATAACAGAGCCTTGACGCGGCCGGAAGTGTGATAAATATATTAATTCATCAAATGCCTGTCAGATTACAAACAAGTTAAGTAAAAACTCATGAATCTAAAATAATACTCTGAATCTTAATATATATAATGATGATGATAATGTATACAATTACTTTATCTCATTATCTGCAGATCAATTATTAACTATCTTCTCACAATTAACCTTTTCAGAGATGATTGTAAAACTATATCATTAAATTAATACAGCAGTCAAGACCTTAGAAGATGTGAAGAATACTCTTACATCTGGTTTGATAAGGCAGTTAAACAAGATCTTCATAATTCAGACAGAATTGAATATATATCATGAAAGTGAACTTGCAGATCATTATTAAGTAAATAGATATCAGATTATTAAATTCTCTCACAGACAGATACAAGTAGATGAAGTTCTCACTATTAAGAATGTCAATTGCAAGATTATAATCTGTAGAGCAGATGAGATGAAAAAGATGTTTAATAAGACTCTTCAATTGATTGAAATCAAATCTATAAAATCTACAGTCACTTAATCATAATAAGATAATTCTATAGAATCTTAACTTACAGTGAATTCTACATCTTCTAATAAGTATATAGATAATCTTTATGTTATAGATAGATATGATGATGATTATTAATTAATTTTTGAAGATTACTATATTCAAAATATTTTCTTTACAGTGTGGTTTTCTGTACACTGTGGTGCACTCACTACAGAGAGTGAGTAAGCATGGCACGGTTAATAAATTATAATAATCTTTTGACAGTTGATTGTCTTGGCAGAAAGTGGCAGTAGTTCGGATTGGGTTAGCTCGGAGTTGAGTGGCTGAGTTTACTGAGCTAACGTCATCTGGCGCTTTCTCAAACCTCCTCCAATGCCTCATCCACCACTCTTTATCGTGGTTGTTCTGAATCAACACAGCGCATATCCGCTCCTGATACCGTCTCTCCATTATTATATCTTGGTTTACTCAAGATGGGCGCGCTTCTGTCGCTGCCCTTGATGGCAGTGCCCAGCGTTGGCACTGTGAGTCTGGCTTGTCCCCCAAAGCTACAGACAATGGCATCGCTAACACACTGAATTCATTAGTTAATAACATTCTGCGCCTCGTGTTGCGGAGCAGCTACCTGCTCAGCGATATGCAGTGCCTGTGGGAAGTTCCAGAGCAGGTATGTTCCATATTCCGCTTTTCTTCCACCAGTTTAAATCCGCTAACCTCCGAACAGCATGGCCACGAGAATCGCCTATGCCGTCATACTCTTGTTTAATTCGATATTATCCTGGATAATGTTGACACGATGGGCGCTAAGCAAACTGGAACATCTCACATTCGACTTTTTACCGATCAGTTGCGAAGGAGAAAAGTGCTATGGATGGGTAGCGGTACATCGAATCAACTTCGCACTTGGGCTGTTTCATATCATTCTGGCACTTCTCTTGCTCGGAGTCCGTTCTTCGAAGGACGGTAGGGCTGGCCTTCAAAATGGCTTCTGGGGCCCGAAAATTATCGTGTGGTTACTTTTGGTGGCCATGTCGTTTTTCATCCCCGAGGGGTTCTTTTTCGTTTGGGGAAGCTACATATCCTTTATCGGTGCAATTTTGTTCCTGCTACTAGGTCTTATCCTTCTCGTCGATCTAGCCCATACCTGGGCCGAGATCTGCCTGCAAAAGATCGAAGAGCTCGATTCTCAAATGTGGCGTGTCTTATTGATCGGTTCGACACTGGGCATGTATCTTGCGTCCATTGCCATGACTGTGGTCATGTACATATTCTTCGCTCACTCCGGATGTGCCATGAACCAAGCTGCCATCACAGTGAGTTCGAGCCTTTCTAGCAAGTGAACATAACATACTAATATGAATGCACAGATCAATCTTATCGTCTTCCTGATTATCTCCGTGGTCTCGGTTCAGCCTGCAGTTCAGGCTTCCAACCCTCGAGCAGGATTGGCACAGGCTGCAATGGTTACAGTTTATTGCACGTATTTGATGTTGTCTGCCGTGTCAATGGAACCTGACGACCGCCAGTGCAACCCCCTGGTCCGCGCTCGCGGCACCCGAACAGCTTCTATCGTGATCGGTGCCATAGTTACAATGTTGACCATTGCATACACTACTACTCGCGCTGCTACGCAAGGTATCGCTCTAGGTTCGAACGGGGCACATAACTACTCACGCTTGGGTCAAGATGAGATGGAACATGGGCTTGTAACTCAACAACCTGGGCTGAGTCGCAGAGAAATGCGTGCGGAGGCTCTCCGCGCTGCTGTTGAGAGCGGGAGCTTGCCAGCAAGTGCTCTCGACGAAAGTGATGATGAGTCAGACGACGACCGGTCAAACAGGGACGATGAACGTCACTCCACGCAGTATAACTATACCCTGTTCCACGTTATCTTTTTCCTAGCAACCACGTGGGTCGCAACCTTGCTCACGCAAAATTTGGATCCGGAGGCGAAGGACAATTTGGCTCCTGTCGGTAGGACATATTGGGCTACTTGGGTGAAGATCATCAGTGCTATGGTGTGCTACGCGATTTACCTATGGACTTTGATTGCTCCGGTTTTGCTACCTGATCGATTCGACACTACGTAAAAAGCACGAAATACCACGGTTGACGACACATTCTTCTCTAATTCTTGTTGGCGTTCGTTGCATTTGGGCCTGTTTTTTTAAATTTGGAATAGTACTCTTTAACCTAGTTAGTTTGCGCTCAAGAAACCGTAGATACACCACTCTTTATTAGTCTTTAGTCAAATGCATTATCTTTACAGGTGGACCTATATCCGTCCACTCATCAATCTGCGTCGCTACATCCGAAAGGCGGTTTTTGGGCAGAAACGGCGGATGACGTCAGCATCGCTGGGTCGTCTTCAGCCACTGATTTACGCGCCCACCAACGCGTCTGCGTAGAATGAACTCCTGCATAGAACCACCACCATGGGATGAATATGGCCACCATCAAGGCCATCGAAGCTCGTTCGGTACTAACTCCTTACCTAGAACCTTTTAAAGGACTGCGCAACGCTAACTGTTAAGTGACAGGTCCACCAAATCCAATCTGGTCAAGTGATTGTCGACCTTTGCTCCGTCGTGAAGGAGCTGGTGGAGAACAGTCTGGATGCTGGAGCGACATCTCTAGGTATTGTGATATGTTTCAGGTTTAAAATTAGAGAATCTGACTGACTGTTTGCGCTGCCGCATAGATATCCGATTCAAGAACAACGGGCTGGATTTAATCGAGGTGCAAGACAATGGAAAGGGAATATCCCCAGACGACTATGAGACAGTTGGTAGAGTCCCTACATACGACACACAAATTCAACGGCTGCGTTTAGTAAGCTTTTCTACTAACTCTTCACTCTGTGTTATAGCTTTAAAGCACTACACCTCAAAGCTGTCGAAATTCGATGATTTATCCTCCCTCCAAACCTTCGGATTCCGTGGCGAAGCCTTGTCTTCCCTCTGCGCCCTCTCCAACTTCCATATTATTACCGCCCAAGCACACCAAACTCCCAAAGCCTCGAGGTTGGAATTTGAGACTTCTGGAAGGCTTAAAAGCAAACAGGTGGTGGCAGGCCAAAAGGGGACAATTACATCAGTCGAGAACCTTTTCACCAAACTTCCCGTGCGACGACTGGAGTTGCAGAAGAATATCAAAAGAGAATATGGCAAGGTACTGGGCTTGTTGCATGCCTATGCGTGCGTCAGCACTGGTGTTCGATTTAATGTCAAAAACCAAATGCCTAAAGGGAAGAGTGTCCTTGTTTTTGCAACTCAATCCAACGCCACGACAAAGGAAAATATATCCAACATATATGGAGCTAAAACGCTCCTCTCTTTGACGCCTCTTGACCTCGAGTTGGAATTTCAGCCGAGTGGAACGGGAAGATGTTTAATCGGGGGTGGTTCTAATGAAGGAAACAAAATACTCGTGCAAGGCCATATTTCGAAACCGGTTTTCGGGGAGGGCAGGCAGACCCCCGACCGCCAGATGTTTTTCGTCAATTCCCGCCCATGCGCTCTACCGCAAATTGCAAAGGCATTCAATGAGGTTTATAAATCTTTTAACATCTCTCAGTCCCCATTCATCTTTGCCGACTTTAAAATGGATACGAATTCTTACGACGTTAATGTGTCACCTGATAAACGCACCATTTTGCTCCATGATGCCGGCGCGCTAATAGAGTCATTGAAGACGTCTTTGACTGAGTTATTTGAACGTCAAGATCAGACAGTCCCGCATTGTCAGGCTTCTCGGAAACAATCTATGCTGCAGTATCCTCAGAGCACAAATATCCCTTCCAGTCTTGGCTCTGAGAAACCTGCAAAATCAAGCGAGCCGAGACAATCTGAGGATCTTGGGCAAGTTGATGGAAGTGACGAGGAAGATGAGCAAAGAACGATGAGAACTTTCGTACAACGCTTTGCCGGTCGTAGTAACGCTTCAGACGAGATTCCTGAAACCCAGCAGAATGTGGAGGTCGGGGTGTTGCCTCTGTCTGCAGAACAATACTCAACCGCCAACGAGAGTGTTCCGCAACCGAGAAATATATCTCCCGGGGCTAACGAAATCTTATCTTCCCAATCTCAATCGTGTGATAATGAAAAGAGCACGACGGCATCCCCTTCCACCCAGCTTTCAGATAAGTCTGCGGAAAATTGGGCTAACTCAGGCTTTACTCGTGCATCCTCGCTTCTACGACAAGAACCGCTGCATTCAGTACAAACCTGCTCCCCGCAACATTCCCCCAATGTGATCCAGAACGCTTTCGATCGAATGCGCCCAAGTAGACCACCTGTCGAACTCGCAACTATTACGGTAGGAAAACGAACTGTCACGTCCACTATAGGTAGAGAACAGTTCAAGCGGAAATTGGGTGCAACGAGTTTGGGAGGTTCAGCCCCTCGACCCAAACGACGAATTCACGTTTCAACTAGCAAGAGCAAACTAGGGCAAGGTTTACGATTGTTTGCGGCACCAGACACCAAAGTGGATGACGATCTGGAAAGCATCAGTGGCGAAGATGAACAAGCCGCTGTGGAGACTGCATCAGAAGTCGAGTCTCTGTCTGATCACCATGCTGAAGAATTTGATGAAATGCACCCCGAACGGGAAAGCGAGCTCGAGTATGAAGAGGACGCCGGAAAACACGGAGAAGGCGAGATGGAAGAAACAGGACCCACGGAGCCACATGATGAAGCCGAAGCCTCCGACTCCGACACGAGCTATGTGGACGAACAAGAGGAAAAGGCTAGGGAAGAAGCGAGAGTTGCAGAGTTGATACAAGCAGCGGAAGAGAAGGCGGCAATTCCTTCAGACGATACTATCCATAGAGTCAACAGAATATCGAAACGGTCCATTGGTAGAACATCCACAGTCGATCTGGTAGGATGTATAGATGGGTCATTGGCCAGGATCGAGGCTCATATGAAGTTGCTTCAAGAGGGACTGCAGAATATCAACAACATCAGTTCTACCACGAGTGAGGGAGAGATTACTCAGGAACCAGGAGAACCAGAGTCAGCAGAAACACAACTATCCCTCTCGGTCTCCAAAGAGGACTTCGCCAAAATGCGCATTATCGGTCAATTCAACCTGGGATTTATCATTGCAACACGACCACGCGGGGACTCAAACAACCCATCAACCCTCCCAGGCCACAAACATGACGAAGTATTTATAATTGACCAACATGCATCGGATGAAAAGTACAACTTCGAACGTCTCCAGGCCGAGACAGTTGTGCAAAACCAACGACTCGTTAAGCCAAAGACCCTCGAACTAACGGCTGTTGAAGAGGAAATCATAATAGACAATCTTCCAGCCCTGGAAAAGAACGGCTTTGTTGTAGAAGTGGACAGGAGTGGCAACGAGCCCATCGGACGCCGATGCAAACTTACCAGCCTACCACTCAGCAAGGAAGTGGTCTTTAACACAGGAGATCTTGAGGAGTTAATCGTTCTACTTGGTGAAACGCCGCAAATACAAACGCAATCTGCACCATCTCCCACCTCCGGTTCCGATGTCTTTGCTGGCAAATATATTCCTCGTCCAAGTAAAGTTCGCAAGATGTTCGCGATGAGAGCGTGCCGTTCTAGTATTATGATTGGGAAGACGCTTACCACCAAGCAAATGGACCGGGTTGTGAGACATATGGGGATGATTGATAGGCCATGGAATTGCCCCCATGGGCGTCCGACCATGAGACATCTTATGAGTTTGGGGGATTGGAGCGTATGGGATGAATGGGAGTCTGCGACACAGTTAGCATTAGAGAATTGCGGCGATGTGCACGCAAGTACCGGATTAGATGTTTGGAAGCGATTCCTAAGTGACTTAGACGAGGATTAAACCCGGGTTTGCGGTGTTTTATTAGGGAGATCGCCTGTTTTTTTTTTTTTTTTTTTTTTTTTTTTTTTTTTTTTTTTTTTTTTTTTTTTTTTTTGATGTTAAATAGATTTCTTTTTTGGGATAACTACAAAGCTACAAAGGTTTTTGGAATCCGATCATACTTTAAGGACGATCATGTTTACTTGACTATTCATTCTATTGAATACAGTAACCGAAGGGAAATGAAACGGGGGTCCAAATAGCTCAATACAACAGGAGACTCGTCACCTCACATATAGCCAGAAACACGCAAATCCTCCGGCCCTGCAGGTCAAACATTGAAAACCATAGATAACGGGAGAAAATAAACAATCCAAGCTCCCTTCCTCCCCTCCTCCCCTCCAATCCTTAAAACCATCTCCTCAACTTACTCTCGGGCTTCCGATTCATTCTCCCATTCCTCTCATCCTCCTCCTCCGCCAAACGCAGCGTCTCCTCCGTAATCAGTAGATCGCGCTCAATAAGCTCTGCCCAATTCTGCAAGTCCCCCACCTCATTTAGCCCCTTTCTACCCATATCAGCCAGCTTTTCCAACTCCTTTGACTGCTTCGCGAGATCTTGGGTTGTCTTTTTCAGTTTCTCCTCTTGCTTCTTGAGGGCGTCGTCATTGTCATGAAGGGCCTGCGCGCACTGGCGCAGGTCGGCGTCCAAATTTGTTCCGACGGATGTTAAAGAGGCGGTAAAAGCGGCCTTGGCTTCGGTTGTTTCCTGCGTATGGGCGGTGCTCGACGGCGTGGATGGGGCGGTATTGGCCATGGGTGTGTACATTGAGATGCTACCTCATACAGATGAGGATGGATGCTGGTTTATTGATGTTCCGGCTGCAGGGTTTGATAGAACATGCAGGTATTTGCGGACGATGTATGCACAGTGGAGCTCGTTAAAACTTCGTGTATCTGGAGATGCTGGAGATGAGTTGATGCGGGCCTTGAGCGTGTTGCTCAAGTATGATGCATAGAAAATAAATCCAAAATTCTCTGAGCAAGTCAACGATATGGCGAGCGTCCATTACCCCACCATGCCGGTCACGCGCTATCCAGGTAGCTGCATCTAATAAGCTTTCCATGCCATCTTCCATGCATCGAGACGGAGCTGGGTTTGTTCTGGTATATATAGTGTATGGCCATGCTCTCGATAACACATCTGAAACCTCCTAATAAGTCGAAACTGCATCTCAAATCTCATCGGACCCGTAAATCCTGGAATTCAGCTACCTTAGCGGCTCAAATGCTATCCGCTGGCCCTTTTTGCATAGGGATCTATGAATCTGCTGCCCAACACCCTTAGGGCAATGGAGCTCGTAATAGGTCGAGTCGACGGGAACTACTGCAAGAATGCGTTGTCATTCTCAGCAGTTCCAACTGTAACACTCTTGGATGGCTCGCGGCGAGAATTGCTCACTGTGTCGTTCTTTAGTTCGGATATTCGTCAGTCTGAAATTATCGCGATACCTTATCACGGCCGCACTGAGTCCAGCAGGTTGACCGTTTCTTAAGCACATTCCATTACGATAATTGTACGGAGTACTCCGTAGTAAATTCCACGTGATCGAGGTTCTATTTTTGGAAATTATAACGTACCACAGGCGCTTTTATTGTTCTCAACCAATGCATATCGGCCTATTGTTGGAGGAAAAGAAAAAAAGGAAAAAAGGAAAAAAAGGGGGGGGGGGGGGGGGAATTTGCGAAAATCCAATATTCTAGCACTTCTATCATGAGTCTATTTAATATTGAAATACGATCTGGTTCTAAAGTCTCACAACTTCCCCTTGACTCCAACGACCTGCTCCGCTGAGGCATGAAGTGCCGTTACCTCAGCCAGCAAAATTCCTTCTGGTACATCTTCTCCCTCTTCGTTTTCCAGCTCCAATGCCCATGTAACTATCCCCGCCCTCGGGCTTCGCACTTCGAGTTCCATTTTCATTTGTTTCACGAACGCGATCACTGTGTTCTCCTGGATTTCGTCCCCTTCTTCCACGAGCATCTCGGTCAGCTTTCCGCTCATCGGAAGAGTGATATGAGAAGAATTGTTCAGATCTCCTCGTCGGTGAGTTGATGATAGGGAAATTGACGAAGCAGATGTGCTGGACAAAGTCACTCGATATGGAGTAGTTGTTGCGGCTTGAGTCGCAGTCGCCGGAGTTGTGTATTCGATTTCTGCACTTAGAGAAGTTGGGAATTCGTTGCGAAGAAGTTTACTAAGCAGAAGGTGATGAGGCGTTTGGGAAGCGGATCCCCGTTTGGAGTTCAATGGCGTCAACTCAACGGACCAAGCATCTCCTTTGCGGAAGAGGACGCTGGACGATCCAAGCGATAGAGTTTGAGGGGTAGAAGAGGCAGGCGGCAGGCCTGATTGGTTCGATCTGGAGCTTGAAAGTTGCTTTCCATATTGGATAATTTCTTCCAGATGTTTCTCCAGCCATTGAGTATCGATTTGCCATTGCTGGAATTCGTGATTTGCGAGGATTCCTTTCAGGACATCGATGTTGCTCTTAACCCCTGATATTCTTGTATCGTCCAGTACTCTGCGCGCCTTTCGAAGTACAGAATCCCAACTGGTGGAGGTGACTATAATTTTGGCCATCATGTTATCGAAGTCGGAGCCAATTACTACTGGCGATGACCCCGAGATATTAGTATCCACCCTGACGCCATTGCCTCCTGGGACATGGAATTCAGTGATTTTTCCGATGCTCAACGCGAAATTCGCGCCTGGGTCCTCAGCACATAATCTCAACTGGATTGAATATGCAGTGGGTGGTTGTTCCGGATTTTTCCTATCACCCAGTCCCATATCTCGCAATGGCACACCTTGGGCTAGCAGCAGCTGTGTCTGGACAAGATCCACCGACGAAATGCATTCCGTGATTGTATGCTCGACTTGAAGGCGGGGGTTGATTTCTAGAAAGTAGAACTCTGATAGTTCCCCGCTGACCAAGAACTCGAAAGTTCCCAGCGACAAGTACTTAATCTACGTTCCGAGTCAGCTATTGTATCTGACATCAGTAGCTAAGAAGGCGACTTACCTCACTCGCAATCCGTAATGCTGCCTCGATAACCCTCCTAATCAAGCCTCTATCTTTCATCATAGCGGGCGCACACTCCACAATCTTCTGAAACCTCCTCTGCACACTACAATCTCTTTCCCAGAGATGCCTAACCTCCCCAGTACCATCTCCAATAATCTGAACCTCAACATGATGAAACCCTCCCACGGCAGCCTTTTCCACGAACACCTTTTTGGACGGAGATTCCCCAGTCGCCCGATCAAGAGCAGACTGCAGCTCATCCGGTCCCTTTACGAATCGGATCCCCCGTCCACCTCCGCCATCCACAGCCTTCACCATGACAGGATATCCAACCTCAGCCGCGAAACGGCTTATCAAGTTAATATCGTTCGTTGGCGTTTTCATTGCCTTCAAAATCGGCACACCACATGCCTCAGCCAACTCCTTGGCTTGTAGCTTATCTCCTGTCCTTGCCAATACTTCCCAACCGGGGCCAATGACTTTGGCCCCCGCTTCCTCCCATATGCGCTGGGCAAATTCTGCGCTTTCGCTTAGGAACCCATACCCCGGGTGGATTGTGTCTATGGAGTTCTCCCGTACTAACTGCACCAGCAAGGCAATATCCATGTAAGACGCTGGAGATGGTAACGCTAAGACATGGTGCGGTGCTCCCACGTCACAATGCGAGCGGTCATCTTCTGTGTAAAGTGCAAAAGTCTCGATGGACAATTCACGGGCCGCCTGGAGGATGCGAACTGCGATCTCTCCTCTAATAAAGGCGGCAAAAAAGAAGATAATGGTGTTAGCGTTCTTCCATCTCTTTTCCTTATGATCTCAGTCTTGAATTTCGTAGTTCCCACGTACCTATTCGCAACCAATAGCCGCTTAATGGGCCGCGCTGGCGGAGGAGTCATGATTACTACTTGAGGACTTGGCCACGGGAATGTACTTATACAATATGCGCTGCCATTCAGGAATCAGGGGGTGGAAAAAAAAAGAAAAAAAGAAAAAAAAAAAAAAAACATAAACCCTCTATTTTTGCCGACTGAGCCTCAGTAGCAATCGCACACAGAAAAAAAGAAGCACAAAAGGAATTCATTTAAAATAAGCCGGAATAAACACCTGCCCCCTTGCTCCCGAAAGGATTTTTAACTTAAATAATATATTCCTCCATGTCTTCACCCCTTGACTGGCCTGTTCCCAGCTCGGGTGGGTTCGATGTTGCGGGGAACGATCGGTTTTGCCGCAGTCGTAGAACGGCCGAGGTTCGGCCCATCAAACCATCTACACAACACATCACCAGTTGTTAAACTCCACACGTACAACAACAACTGGTTGAATGCGTCTATATATATGTGTGGTTTCTCGTAAAAGATTAAGGGAAATCATCGTTGTCACCGTTCTGTTTGAAGCTGGTCGTCTATACGCAAGTCGATCCTACGTGGGCAGCTTCACGTGTAGCAGTTTTTCGGCTTGCCGTGTAACCTATTTCGGCAATTGCGGATTGTATAGCCGGAAAAGCAGCCGATATAGGTTCGGGCACAGGAGCTACATTTTGAAGCATGAGGATGGGAAATTCCTGGGGTTGGAATCCGGCTATCTGTTTGCTTAAACCGATTCGCTCTCGGTAATGTCGGAAAGTATATATTACTATTTACCCAGCACATCCTGCCTACAGCACAATTCGGAGTGGAAGAATTGATTGTAAAGTCGATCAAGACAACTACTGATATTCCATTCCAGAGGAAAGAAGAAGCTACGAAGCCATTATGGGAGGCAACGGACCCCCAAACGGCAGCTCCACCGTGCTAGATGCCTCAAACTCGAAAAACCAAGCTACAAACCGACTCAATCAGCTCTCCTCACAAATCTCAGGAAGCAACCCGAAGAGCAAAAAATCTAAAAAATCAGCGTCCGCCCTTCCAGCAGACTACTCCGATGTACTCGGCCAAATCGAAACCATACGCACCTTGGCTGCGAATCCGGACTTACAAAATAGAGGCTACATCAGACAGAAACAGGCTGGAAAGCTATGGGTCCGCGAACGCATCGACCAGCTACTTGACCCAGGGACGTTTCGCGAAATAGGGTCCGTCAGCGGCAGGGTGAAATGGCAGCAAACAGGCCCACTGACAGAGAAACCCGTGGCATTTACGGCCACCAACAATCTTCAGGGCCTAGGCAAGTTGCGAGGCCGGACCATCGTGTTCACTGCGGATGATTTCACCATTCGTGGAGGACACGCGGACGGCGCGATAGCGGAGAAAACCATGTATGCGGAAAAAATGGCCGTTGCGATGAAATTGCCCATTATTAAATTGGTGGATGGGAGTTCGGGGGGTGGGAGTGTGACGACGATCAGAAAGGAGGGATGGTCGTACATACCGCATGTCAGCTCGTTTCATCCGATGGTTGAGCAACTTAACTCAGGTGTGCCGAATTTAGGTGCAGTCGTTGGACCGGCGGTGAGTTTCCCTTTCCCTCTGAAATTTGGGCGTTTGGGTATTTTTCTGAACTGTTGTCTGCGAGTAGATCGGACTGGGCGCTGCAAGAGTCGTTTCCTGCCATTTTTCAGTTATGGCAGCGGACATAGGTGCTCTCTTCAACGCCGGCCCGAAGATCGTTGAAGGCGCCACTTTCGAGGAAGGTCTCGATTTCCAGGACCTGGGCGGTTCGATGATGCATTGCACAAACGGCACGATAGACAATCTTGCCGCAAACGAAGCAGAATGCTTCGAGCAACTCAGGACTGTTCTCGGATATTTGCCCAATTGCGGTACCGAAGCACCACCTGTGGTTCCGTGCGGTGACCCGGAGGGCAGAGAAGATATTGGGCTTCGAACAATCATCCCAAGAAAGCAAACGAGAATGTACAACCCCCGAACCATCATAAATTCTGTGGTTGATCAAGGATCATGGTTCGAAATCGGGGCGCTATGGGGGACGACTGCTATCACTGGTCTCGCTAGACTGGGAGGTAGACCCGTGGGGCTTATCTCCTCGAATTGCGAAGTAAACAGTGGCGCTTTAGATGCGGCCGGAAGCCAAAAGTTGACCAGATTTTTGAAGTTGTGTGACGTGATGAACCTCCCACTTCTTCAATTCGTTGACGTCCGTAAGTACTATCAAACAGACAATTCCTCCTTCAACCAAAAGTGACGAGCGCTTTACTGACAATATTTGAAGCCGGATACGCCATTGGGACTGTAGCAGAAAGAAGTGCGACCATGCGCTGGGGTGTAGAGCTTGGCAAGACCTACTTTTCCACCACAATGCCAATTTTCAACGTTATCACAAGGAGAGTATATGGTGTGGCTGGCGGTATTATGGTTGGGTGTCGAGATCCCGCAATGCAATGTGCCTGGCCATCCGGGCAATGGGGATCACTACCATTAGATGGCGGCATCGAAGTTGGTCACCGTCATGAACTGCGAGAGGCAGAGGAGGTCGGGAAAAAGGCAGAGCGATACAAGGAGCTGGAAGAAGAATATCTTCGACTCATGAATCCAGTCAGAACGGCGAATGCGTTTGGGGTGGAAGAAATTGTCGATCCCAAAGACACGCGCTCGATATGCTGTGCCTGGGCTGGGCGCGTGTATGATGTCATCATCCCTCAGCGGTTATTAGACAGGGCAAATGGAAAGATTCAGCCGAACTTCTTTTAAGTCTCTTGTCATGGCTAGATATTCTTTTCTTTTCTTTTCTTTTATTTTTTAATTTCTCATCATCTCGAGATAGAAAAATAGATCTGATATGTTATTCGACTTTTCCCACACCCTGTAAAGTTAGATATACATCCGTTCCCCATCCCCACAGACTCTGCACTGCAATACTGCCACCGAAGTATTCTGCATATGCTCTGCTTAAGGGTAACCCGTAGCCAAGGCCAGCTATGCTACTGGTGTTGGCTCCGCTACCGGAGAGGGCATTCAGGGCGTCAATGTTTCCATTATCTCCACCTGGAAGATCGTCTTCTTTATAAGTGGTAAAATTGTAGGACCAGATATTAGAAAGAAGATCAGGATGTACTCCGCCTCCACGATCACGGATGCGGATCGTGATACTTTGAGTGGAGGAGTAAAGCGGCGCAAGCAGCTCATTTCTATCAGGTAATTCCCCAATGTCCTTGCCAATACGGAAATCCACTTCAGCATCTGAAGGCTTCTCACTACTTAGGGAATGCTCCTGTGTATGGCGATCTGGTACATCTGGAGCAGCAGCTATAGTGACCTCTACCGGCTCACGTTCATTGCCCGATTCCACAACTGCCCGAAACGCATTCTTCAATAATTCCGTGATGATATATTCCACGTGAACGGGGATATGTGCAAAAGTGATATCTGGTTCTCCATCAATCACAAGGCGCGGTCGAACGCCATATTTTAGCTCACATATTTCTGCAACAAATTCTTCGCACGTTCGAATAAGCTGTGCGGGGCGTAGTGCGGTATCGATTACTCCGATATAGTTTGGTGGTGTAGTCCATCCCTGCTTCGTGCCATCCACTGGTGGCTGCGAAGCCATATGCAACGCAAGATGCTGTTGGGCTATCAATCGGGTACCGATTCGGGCTCGTAAATGCTCTTCGAGAAATTTAGTGACTTCGGCGGGGCTGATATACTTCCTACATTCCAGAAATCCTCGTGCCAGTACGGGAATAGTATTTGTATGGGTTTGAACAAGATCAGCCATGACGTCGGTAAACTGTATCTCCTCCTCCATGCTTGTAATTCGCCGCTGCTGGTACGGAAGGAGGGTTGAAAGAGAGTGCAAATAATTGTTATAAATTTTGGAAATATGCGGATTCGACACGACGATAAACGGAAGATTTCTCAGTGCTTGAATCCGGTAGGCTAGGCGAGTAGGAAGTAAAGAGAGAGTAAAGTTCGCTGATGCGAGGAGCGCTTCTTGTGATAGCGGCGGGCGTCCATGTCTTGAATGATGCGATTGTCAGTTTGTCATGATGAACCACTATGTGCAATTCTGGAAAATGATATACATGTCATTCTTTTGCTTACTTGAGGAGGTCTGTGAGCGTCAAAGGCCGCCGGGGACTCGACGCAAGCCTCGTTACCTCATCTTTGGCAACATCTGAAACTGAAGGCGGATAGGACCAGCTATGGGCAGAGAGGGCAGATAGACTCCTCGCCTGGAGCTGAGGGAACGCCCAGCAATTCAATTGCCCTAGAAAACGAGTGCTTAGAACGGGTGCCATAATGACTTCTCCATACTCAAATTACTAAAATGCCCAAGACAATGTTGATTGGAGAAAGGGATCGGGGAAGACGATGACGAGAATGGATAAACGCTAGATTAGTCATCCCTGGGCTAACGGGGGTCACGTTACCCAGTCAGTCCTCTTCTTTTCAATGCCGAATCGGCAACAATAACAAAGTTTATTTACAGCTTCAGCGAACAAGGACAAAACTCGCAGCACCAATGGCCATGTACCGAAATCGAAGGAACCACGATATTTCTCAAGCGTCTTATCCCATCATTCAAAGGATTACCGACTATATCCATCACTGACACAACGTCAATTTCGGCGAGGCATTGGAAATATGCCCCCGCGACGTCGCAAACTCCCTTTCCGCCTACGACTCCTACGACTCTACTACCGTATCATCCATTTCAGATCGCCTCTTAAGCTACGAGCGAGCATTGTCAGGTTAAGACATGACCATCCCCGGCCGTGGCTCTGTCTTTTGCAACTTTTCAACCCTTTTCCTACATGGTTATATCCAGTCTCCGACCCCGTTCCCTCCAAGCAGATGTTGGGAAATGTCTCCTTAATGATGGCCCGAAGAAACCATATTGTTACATTCCGCAACATTCCAGTTTGGCGTTCACGAGATACCCCTTTGCGTTCTTTATATCGTCTTTATGAATCTATGGCTTCGGGAGAGTATGCCCCCATGGGCCAGGAGACAGAGTACTTTTGGTACCAGAATCGGAGTCGGTGGGATTTGCATATAATTGAGGACCCCAAGGACCCCGATCCTATTCGCTATGCCATTCTAGCATGCCTCGCCGAAGAGCTAGTAAATGCTTTTAATTGGAGATTGGGCTTGGGCATGCGACGAGACCATAAACATGTTTTGCGGGAAGCTGATGAGGACCCCTATCCGGCTTATGCGCCTGTAATTGGGCCGTCTTGGACGAAAGATGTCCCTCCTATTTCCCGGGAGGATTTATGTGCCCTTCCCCAGGGGTTTGTGAACAGTGAGGGGAAATTAGTCCTTGAGGAGAACGGGAAGAACGAAGTTTTCGCGCGGCGAAACATTGTCACGAATGTGGGCTGGTTGTATACGATTTAGAAAAATAATAGTCACAGGGTTTAATATATCCTATTCTTTTTTTTTTTTTTTTTTCCTTCCCAACAAAGAACGCTACGATTGGTATAACTCAAGGATTAAACACTGATATCGGATCTATACGCCACCACCAATTTCGCCAAACGGAAGCCTACCGGGAAGAAGTTTCCTCCAGCTCAAGCGAATATATTCCCACGATACTTTCTCCAGAACGCTGCAGCCACCTGCTCCATCGTTTCTCTCGTCGGAATAATATCAAACGAATTAGAATTCAAGGTGCGAATATGCTCTTTGTCGAGCAGCTCGCCTTTCCTATCCTTCATATACTTCAGCAATGCCAAAGCGTCACTCATATCCAACTCCGCCTTCCGACCCCTGTCACCGGTGTGTATCCTCCTGATCTTCCGCTCCAACACCCATTCGACCGGCGCAGCAAGGACGGTGAGGTTTTCGCCTTTGAATAGGACAATGTTTTGCCGCTCGGCTTGCTCGAACAGCTGTTGTCTCGTCCTCCCAGCCACGAACAAGGCCATGTCCTCGTTTATCCATTCCTCATTGTAATTCAGAGCAGTCGAGACTTCGAAAATGGCCTCTTGGATGGGCTTTTTGATTTCCTCATCAGCTGCCCACTGGGGGTCGGCGATGTAGTCCAAGTCTGTCGTAGCCGTGCGGTTTTTGAGGTATGTGATGGCAAAATAGCCGCCGGCTGCTATTATTTTTATCGGAGCGAAAGCGACGATGAATGCATTCTTTCCCAGCTCTGTATCAAGGGCGCTAAGACCTGTTTAATATCCATTTTAAGACATTGGCCAACTATTTATTAGTAAGCTGATAGATTAACTAGTTACCTTAACTATAGTTAAGTTATTTTTCTCTTTTATTATTAATCATCTGATAACTATAAATCATCCTCTCATTTATTTTTTTCGCGACAACGAGAGAGAGTGCATGCATACCTTTTTGAAAATCCGCAGCATCTAAGAAAACCTTCTTCTCCGTCATGATTGCGCAGTGTAGCCGTCAACGTTGAGAGAAAGAAAGGAAACATACATCATGTCCGACGGCGCAGATGTATGCCCTTTGAACCTCTGTACCCCCAGGTTTGCGAAAGAGGAATCAATCAGTAACTTTGGGCAGCGGCGGGAGGGAAATTGAAAACCACGGCGTCGAGAGGGCGAGAGGGGTAAGTAAATAATAAAAGAGAAAGAAGGAGAAAGTAAATAATAAAAGAGAAAGAAGGAGAGAAAGGAAGAAAAGAAGAAAAGAAGAAAAGAAGAAAAGAAGAAACAGGGTTGAAGCGCCTTGCAGCAGACAGACACCAGAATTTGCCGCTTATTTATTATTTACTCGAACTTCTCGGGAGTTCTAGATTTGTGCCAAAACCCTAAGTTAAATAATAATAAATGCCAAAATAATTTGAGAGCAATCTCCAGATCAAAAAAAAAATATATCTTAAATAATATATTTGACATATTATTTTCAACGCCCGAAACACACCACACCACGGATCACCAAACACAATTGTCATTCATTCTTTCGTTCCTTTGAGTACATCTTTTATTTACAACTAATTATCTGCGAAGTTTTATTTTCTTTCCACAACTAACACCAGGACTCCGCCAGAGCGTGCTATTCATCATCAACGCGCGAAACACATTGTGAAGTGATCCAGCTGTTCCCGCTTCACCTCAGATGTGATTGAAAAAAAATTCATGGTATCATGCTAATGGACTACATTATGATTTGGAATGAGAGATGTTGAACCCGACAGCCGCTTATTAAGTGAGCTAGCTACTCTGGACATGGATGGGATGGGCTTTGTTTTTTTTTTCCCTTATATTTATTTAGCTAGCTACCAGAGCTGCAAGCGACCATCTAAAACTAATGTAGTCTACCTTATCACTGGGGTTTTGTTTGCTGCGTCGTCCCGCCATTAAATAATAATAATATCTCCTCTTGGTGTGGAAAAGACAGCCAAACTCAACCCTTGCGAAGATCATGCCAAGAACATAACGTTATGGTTTGACGTTTTGGCGGGGGTTGGACCTCGTATTCAGCAAGACTACGGAGTATATATATATATATATGTATGTATATGACTCACCCAAGCGCCAATATCAGTCAGTCATGGATATATCGATTCCTGACTGCTAATTACTGAAATAAGCTAGGTTACATACCTGTTAAACTTCATTCTCGCCAAAGTTGTGCGAAATAAATTTCCTATCGTTCTGCAGTTTGCTTTCTTCAGGCTTGAATCAACAGAGAGGAGGAGTGCGCGCGCCCCTGGAAGCCCTAGCTATATAGATAATGACCCCAAAAAGACAACGCCGTAAGACCAATGATCCTGCGGTTCCGGATATTTCAGATGACGCTACGGAGCGGAAACGGGTTCTAAACGTGCTTGCACAGCGCCGTTACAGTGAGCAAAACATCACATATGAAGGGCCTCCCATGTCAGACAGAACAAACAAGGTTCTAATAATTCAACTTCTCAGGGAAACGGAAGAGGGAACATCTAGCTGCATTGGAAGCTAAGCTACAGAACAAAGACGGGAAGGAGCATGCATCAACTCCTGACCGCCTTCTTTCAACTGAAAGTGGCCCTGAAAACCAGTCAGGATACGACATATTACCACCATTAGAGGAACAGGTGAACTGTACGGCGAACATTCCCCCCGCGTCACCGGGGACGATACACCGAGTTCAGGAAGCGCTCCTAGACACGTTTAACGCTGTTGATGCTTCCAATGCTGAATCAAGCTTTTTCGACCACCCTGAAATTCCAGATTTCTTTCCAGAATTATTGATGAACAACAACTCGTCATCGTCTCCCTCTTCCTCCGCTTCCTCTTCTGCTTCGTCCTCCTCAATGGTACCAGTGTCGTCATCTCCCTCATGTTTCGAAACTCTCTTCTCACTTGCACCGCCCTCTCCTGAACTGGAAGCACTCTCCTATCAATTCCTCCAAAACATCAGCGAACAAGACCTCGCTCCAAACGACCTCTCTTCAACTCTCCAGTCCCACCAAACAACCACCTTCACCTTCCCAGACGACCACATCATCGAAATCCCAACCTTATCCCTTCTCCGCGGCGTCCTCACCATTGCCGAACGGCTACAGCTCAAGGATCTCATCTGGGCCATGGACGCCGTCAGCCCATTCTACACAGGCCCAGCGGGACTCAAATCCCCCTCCCACGCCCGTTCCCCTTCGTCATCATCATCATCATCATCATCATCTTCTTCTTCTTCTTGTTCCTCTACCAGAGCAGTATTAGAAGGTTTACCCGCCCACCTCCAACCAACCCCAACCCAGCGCCTAATCCCCCACCATCCAATCCTCGACCTCTTCCCATGGCCCACCACCCGCGACAAGCTCATCCAGGTCTTCAGCATGCCTGCAGACCTGCGCCCGGCTTCCGCATCGCACCCCATGGCCATGATGAATCTAGTGTACGATATCGAGGACCCGGCTGAGGGGATGCGGGTGAGCGGTGGGAACCCCTTTGACCTCGATGTGTGGGAAGTCGGGCAGATAGTGTTTGAGCGGTGGTGGTGGGCGTTTGAGACTCGAGTGATTGAGCTGAGTAATCGCTGGAGGCGGAGTCGGGGACAGCAGGGGTTGGCGATGGGGCCGTGTTTTTGATGGGGTTAACTATATATCCGTGGGGCGTCTTTAACCATACATATATTTGTATGCATGTGCACGATATGCTATTATCTCTGCCGGCTGTGGTATTATTATCATCCTACTTGTTGTATAGCTCCGTGTGATGAAGCAAGTAGTTTGCGCGCGAAACACTCCGTTTTGATCAGATTGATACTGTGACCACTTATTAGGCCGTTTGTTAACATTTCAGGTCACCGCCACCGCGACAATACTGGCCACGAGTGGTAGGTTTGGTCGAGTTCACGGTTGGCTGTGTTTTGGCGCTCTTCGTCGTCGGGTTTCCTCATTGAATTTGTCACTGGGCGTGAACTGTTATTGTATCTGATAACAGTTTGAGGGATTGCAGTGGTGTATGGTATGCATCACTGAGGATCTGTGATGCACATGGGTTGAAAGGATGGGGATGCCCTGGTTGATGAGAGTAGTTTTTGGAGAAAATGAAGATTGTACAAAAGATTGTATAGTCAGGAGCTATTATGCTACAGTATCCAGATATTTAGTAATTACCTGATTGAATCAAGCTTGTAAGAGGAATCCTGATACTCTTTCACTCACACTGAGCATGCAGATGCTGATTATAGAAGATTTGATTTGAGAGACAGTTTTGTGAGATTTTGAAGATAGTAACAAGTATGGAGGTTTTCTGAAAGTTATCTGAAAGTTATCTGAATCTGGAGATTAGGAGGCAGGTTCAAAGTTGATTGCAGTGAGAATATACAGAGTAGAATAGATACACACTATCTACAGTGGCAGATGATAGTTCAAAATATCCTCAGTAGCTGCCCGCCGAGGCAGGCAGGTAGGGAATCAAATAGTTAGTTAACTATAAGTTATCAGCAGCAATGGACTGCGATGTGGTTCTCAAAACCTCAGTACCTATCTGAAAGGAGAGTCAAATTACATACCTAGCTCACTTCCTCCAGGGGAATAAATATGATGTATCATGTTTACGCACGTGTTTCTATGCACAATTTTTTGAAGGATTAACCTAGTTAAGCTATTCGTGTAGGTACATATGTACATGTACTACTACATGTACAGAGGAGTGAGGATATGGCTCTCTTATCCTGATACAACGGCATGCCGATCACCTCGGTGGTTCCGCTGTATCAAACATCCATCCATCGAAGTATAAATCGGATCGGAGGAGTCGTTGAACCAGCCATGTTTGATTCTGTTTCATCACATCCCGTTCTACATTACTGCTACGCTACGCGGTTTGACCCAATATTTAATTGCGAATCCAGATGTTCAAGGGACGTGGAAGTTGAAACGGATCTATAACTAGTGGTTCGATCGCTGCCAAACTTTCCCGCGCACCCTCTGAAGAACCGGGCAAGGCTAGGTACTGTCAAATAGAAAAAATGTGCTGCTCGGAGGACAGTGGAGAACTAACTGAACAAGGGCTAGGGATATATGGAGTGGCCTTCCCACTCCGCATGTTAGACCGGGTCTGTCAAGAACGAGCATGGGACTTGGAGACACATCTATTACTATATACCAGTGCTGAGACGGGACAGCACTGTTGCCCTCATCGTTTCCATTACCACAGCGGGAGATGAGAGGGGGGTGGAGGTGCACGGCTGGGGTATTCTCCAGTTTAACTACCTACCCTACCGGCACATTTACTTTGTTTCATTTGTCGAGTCGGGGGGGGGGGGACATGGTTCTGATATCCAATGCCGCCATCTTTAGAGATGCTCTCTTTCTATAAAGAAGAGGCCCCCAAAAAACCCCTCTCTCCCTCCGCCAGTAAACTAACTACCAAGCAAAAAAGCATCAATTAACTCATTTGTCTCCAAACTATTGAAGTACCCTCACATAAACCAAAAAAAAAAAAAAAAAAAAAAAAAAAAAAAAAAAACCAATCGCCAACAATGCGCTTCCTTGCCCTTGCGCTCCTCTCCCTCTCCGCCAGCCTCGCCGTCGCGCAAAGCTCCTGCACAGTATACTACCAGACGGGAACATGTATTTCGACCAAAGAATGTGCGTCCGCTAACAAAACCTCGACGCCCAACTTTTGCCCCAACGACCCCGCACACATCCAATGCTGCACGGAGCCGCCGCATCCAGAGATTCCCGGGCGCAATTGCGAGCCCCATGTCGTCAGGGCTGGCGAGACGATTCTTGCCGCGAATGAAGGGGCTGTTCATGTCGTTTGGTGCTATGCTGATAAAGCGGGGGAGCATGGGAAGGGGTTAGCTTTGGATCTTATGGTTGGGGTAACTATGTCGTTCCAAATCTGCTTGCTTTTGATTTTCGTTCGCTCCCCGTTTTCTTTTTTTCTTTTTTCTTTTTTTTTTTTTTTTTTTTTTTTTTTTTTTTTTTTGGTTTTTTTTGGGGCGATCTTTATCACCTCGCCTGATTTTTTCTACCCCATATCTATCGCTCCGGTTCAAAGCCGTTCCTGCTGACAAAAAAGAAAAACAGTCATACAACCCCAAAGGTCAAGTCGTTGCCGAATGGGTGATGAATAACCACAAGAGTCTGAACGTCATGTATGTCATCTGGGGTCAGAAGATCTGGAATCCCAGCAACGGCGAGGCTCCTACGGCCTGGGAAAACTGGAGAGATATGGAAGACAGAGGCTCCGTTACAGCTAATCACTGGTATGTATAGTAGTAGTTATCTTTTCTTCTCGGCTTCCGATTTTCTCCTCTTCGGTTTTCTTTTTTTTCTTTTTCACGTTGCTGCTCGTCATATTCATCGGCTAATAATATATCGAGAAGGGATCACCCGCATGTCAGTTTCAACGCGGCCTAGGTTGAAAGGAGGGGAGATGGGGCGGTTGCGTTGCTATTGGCGGTGGGAATGTGGCGGGTCCCCTTTGTTTGCTCTTCGTTCGTTGTGATGTAATAATGAACGAAAATGTGTAACTAACTAGCTATTCTATATATTATTTACGCGATAGTCAGGGTCGATTCCCCTCTTCTTGTGTCACTTATCTAAGCAAATGCCCTCGTGATTCCTCGGCGCTTTTTGCCTTCTCACTTCCAAGGGCAACTTGTCACTTGTTCCGTCCTGCGTCTATCCGCTGATATTACGCAACCATACATATACCCGGCGAGGAACAACCCTCGATATCAATTTTGGGAGATGAAGTCGAGTTGGGGGAAGAGAGGGGGGGGATCTAGTTAGTTAAATAAAAAAAGATTTTAGGGGTAACTAGAGAGATGCATTGAGAAAAGATGCGAGCAACAATGCAATGCAAGGTGGTGAGAATTAGCAAGGTTATGTTACCGTACGTATATTTATTACATGTAACTACAGTAGTTACATACAATCAAAAGAGAGAGGGAGGAGGTTTGGGAGGAGGCCGTCCGTTATCCATCTCCCCGAAATCAATTTTCATGCCCTTATACCAAACCATAGTTACCGTAGTTACATACTAGATAGATACATATAACTTACATATATCCATTTCTTTGATCATTGAAACGCACACACACATATACTGCGTATATAATAATTGAATCTATCAATCGATAGTTACATGCACATCATCAACCAGCCAACCCCCCCCACCTTTTCCCCCCCCCATCAGTCCATACTCATATATCGCCTAGGCGGACGGGGGCCCACGATGCACTCACGCCTATACGCACATTCTGAGAAAGCCCTGCATAATGTTCTGTGCCAACTCCCATGTAACTACGGAGAACTGTCCCCCCCCGGGCCCCTAAATAATATTCCATTTGCTGCAAGGTAATTTACCTCAGCTCAGCCAAGCCCAGTATAGTATGTATTACGCCGCCGGCAGCTCGCTCTACCCCGCAGCTGGATATAACTGCTAGTTATTATTATAGGTGACTTTTCCGTGGCTACTGGCTACTGGCTACTGGCTACTGGCTACTGGCTACTGGCTACTGGCTACTACTGGCTACTGGATATTGCCGGAAAGCAGAATCTTGGGGGTGGTTGACTTGCAGGCGCTGGGCCGGGGGGCGGGGGTGGTTTTGGGGGGGGTGAGATATAGCGTGGGGATTGCATTTTTGACCGCTCGTCGTCGCTCGACTCCGACTGCGTGAGGGTTCCGCAAGAAGTTAGAGTGAGGAGCTAAATCATATATGATGAGACAATTTTAGTTTGGTTATGGCGTTATGTAGGGTAGGGGGTAGGGATAGAGAGGGAGTATAGTTAGGATAGTGAGAGGGAGGATGAGGGGTTGGCCAGGGTGGTTGAACTTTGGGTGGTGCGGGATGATGGGATGCTGTGAAGATATGAGGTCATTGATTAAATTTATTCTTTTTCTTTCTTCTTTTCCTTCTTCTTTCTTTCTTATCTTTTCTTTTATTTATTTATTTTTTTCTCCTTTTCATATCCTTTCATATCTTTTTTTTTTTTGCTCTTTTTACATTTTTATCCTTTTCATTTCTGTGTACTCCGTATGAGAGTTAAAGAGGAGAGAAGATCAGATATGCATAGCTAGTTAATTTAACTGCAAGCACAGTCAAATCATCTGCAAAGCAAGTGAAGAATTCTCTCTAGACATTAAGTAACTCAAGAAGAGAAAAAGAAAGAGCAGCAAAAAAACATTCAAGTAACTATTCAATCTCAGTTTTGAAAAGTGTCTCATTTGTGCTGTTCATCCCATGACATCATTAAAGGGGGGAAAAAAAGAAAGAAAAAAAGAAAAAAAAGATACATAGAAAAGAAAAACAACAGCTCTCTCTTTTTTTTTTCTTTTCTTCTTCTTTTCCGTTATCTTTTCCCTCTTTCTCCTTTTCCTTTACATTGCATAACTTATATAACCTATCGCACGTCCATACTCGCATGATCGCATAATCGCAAAAAACACGTTAAATTCATAAAATCCATTAAAATCCATATCCATAATCCAATGTCCCATAAATATAACAATAACTCAATTCTCCTCACCCGCTTTTTCCTCGTACTCTGATCATCCGAGACACGCATGCACTTGCTCTTCTCCTCTCGTTCAAAATCCCACCATCACCCCTGCCCTGTCTTCCATTCCCCCCTCCCCCCCCCTCCACCCTCTACAAGAAGATATCGAGGGTATCGCAAAAGGAATTTTGGTTTGTTTTCCTCCCTTTCTGTTGAAGTTTTTTCTTTTCTTTTTTTTTTCTTTTCTTTTCTTTTCTTTTTTTTTTTTTTTTCTTTTTTTTTAAGCTGCGGAGGAAAGGAAAGAAAGTTAAGGTTGTAGCGGGGGCTGGCTGTTTATCGTGTGCGGACCTCGCCGTCCTGCTCGACGTGGAGGTGTTCGGTGGATTCGAGGACTTTGATGTGGTCATCGGGGTACTCAACGCTAAGAGGACGTGTGATATCCATGAAGTGGTTAGCTGGTTGTGCTAATTTTAGTCCGGGCCCCGGCCGGGGGGGGGGGGAGGGGAGAGGGGTGTAGAAGGCTAATCGCATCCTTTGTAGATGGACGCAGTTGTGCTTGTATGGGTTCATGTATGTATGTATGTATGTATGGAGAAGGAGAAGAGCGAAAGGCATCAGGAAAAGAAAAGGGTTGGTTGTAGGGAGGTCGTACGTGAATCCTTTGATCAAGGTGTACTCGTGCTTGATGGTCCCGCCGGATTTTCTGGCTTCTTCCTTGGCTCTGGATTTTAGGTTGTTTTTTTCGTGAGCTTCTTATTGCGGAGGTAAATATTGTTAAGGCACTCGCCAAGGGTAAAAAGAGATGGCGGGTTTGGAGGGGTAGGAGTTGGCATGACGGGGGAGGGGGGGAAAAAGGGAGTTGTATGTATATGCGGGAACATACCTTTCCAACTCCTCCGGGGGAGCGTCCTTCTTGAGAGTCACCTGTCACGCGCAAAGGGAGTAAGCGTTAGTTGATGCCTATAGGTTACTTGGATGCTGTCGAGAAGGGGAGACGAGGGATAACCAACGTTGAAGAGCATGGTGGCTCTTGATGTAGATATCTGTTGGGTCTTGAACTTGTTTGGTCTTTGACTTGGACTGGGGATTATTGGTGCTGACTGTCGCACGGCAGTTGGTGGTTGGTAGAGGGGGTTTTCGGATAGGAATTAAGGTTGAAGGAAGAAAGAAAAAAAGAAGAAGAAGAAGAAAAAGAAAAAGAAAGAAAAAAGAAGAAAGAAGGGGAAGAAGGTGAGGGATATAGGCCTTAAATAGATAAGGTTGGAGGTTGGATAGGTTAGTAGTTGTGGGGTTGAAGCTAGGAACAGAACAAGAAGTTGGGTTGATTATGACCGAATGCTTGCGCGAATGTCTTGGTTACTCAAACGGATAAGAAAAAGTTTAACAAGCTTGGAAGGGAAAAGGGAGAGAGAAAATAAAGAGGAAGAGAAAGGATGTTTGTTATAAAGGCGGGAGGAACCAGGCAGACGACGGGGAGAGGGTTTGACCTATTTAACCATTATTTAACTAAGTTAGTTATCCCAAGGAATCAATGGAAGAATGCAAGTAAGTTCCCGGCACCTTGATTATTTACATATAATATAACAATAATAACAATGATAATATCAATAATATAATTGTAATATAATAATATAGTAGTAATATAATACTAAACTCAAAAGTAAGATTGAAATCATAGATGTTCTGCTCTGAATCTGCTGGATTTGAATTTGACATTGTTGAATACATATTACTGTCTATCTCCACTGGTTCCATTGCTGATCACTACTGCAGATGCTGCTGTTGTCTTGAGTGCATTTATGTATGCACTCAATAATAGAGATCATCATCCCATACATTTTCAATCATTATTGTAACATGTACATGTACAATGTGTACCCCCTCCCCCCGCATCTATTCGATTTTTGTTGCGCCAAGGATTTGTTGCGCGCAGTGGTTGCAAAATCCGTCTAGAGTAATAATAGTGAAGCCATCATCATCATCATCATCATCATCATCATATAGTTAGAGATTAAGTACTCATTCTACCTCGCCTGATTCAACACCTGAGCTAGTTACACCCAGATCGCGCTAGCTCAGGGCTTGGAATTGGTTTGCTCCTTGATATGCCATGTTCTCTCCCTCCCAACACCAGCTGAGATCCAGAGAAGCCCCTCTTCTAATCAGCCACAACGGGTACAGGGTGGTTAAAGTTAGTGATCATTTTGTTGTCAAGTACGGCAGGGCAGACCAGGTTGACCTCCTGGAAGAGCTAAATGTCCAACAAGCGACCAAAGTTAAGGTCCCACGGGTTTATGCACTTTACAATGAACCCGAGTCATCAACAAATTATGTTGTCAAGGAATACATCAAAGGTGACAGACAGCCTGGATACTCAGTGGGCAGGCATCCTTGACCCATGATGAGAAATCTGAGATTGCCATGACACTCAGAGGGTATTTTGATGAACTACGCGACATCTTCTCACCAGGGTACTTTGGAAGTATTGGGAAATGCCATCTTCTGCATGGTATATTCTGGTCCTCACAGCCGACACCTTCCATCAATGGTCCCTTCAACCTCTGAAGCTGCATTGAATGAGGCTCCGGCTTTGAAATATCTTGCGACCGCTGATACCCGCACCACATATCCGCGGCCACAACCCAACGTTTTCGTGTGCGGACTTTCAGCGCAAGAACATCATAGTTATTTAGACGGCTTCCCAGCGACGCAAATTCAAATGCCAACCAATACGAAGTGACTCTCATAGACTGGGAGTTAGCTGGATGGTACCCTGGCTACTGGGAATACTCCGTGGAAATGGTGTGCAAGCAGATGGGATGATGACTGGGACAAATGGGTTGCCAAAATCTTACAATCTTTCGACGCAGAGTTTCCTTGGTTGAGGATGTTGTATCTGGAGTTATGGTCCTGATTTTGTTGTCAGCAATACCCATTTGGCTTCTTTTCCCTTTCTATCTGGGTCGATATGGGTTTGGCAAACGCAGAAAAAGCGAGACGTTTTGAGGGCAAGACTGGTTGAATTCCAGTCTCTATCCTCCTCAGAAAATGCCTGAGGAAGAATCTTCTCAACCAAGCCAACGCCGGGAGCACTGTGCTTTACCCCGCCTTCTTTGACAGGAACTAATCTTCCTGCACAATGCTCAAAGAGGAAGGCCTGCTGAGAGCCAACTGCTTCAATTGGTTGCTTTAGCTTGGCACCTAGACATATCCGTGGCCGATTTTGACCCAAAGATGAGATGCCCTTGAGGCCGCAACAAATTGTATATAAAGCGTTTCTCATCCCCCCGTCGAGGTAACCCAGACATTTGCTCATTTCACAATGACAAAGACAACGGTGCTAATACTTGGTGACTGCCCTGGTGGGTAAACTATCTTCCAGAATACTAATAACAAAAGTTGATAGGCGACACGGGATGGGTTATGTTGAAGGTCCGGCGTGCTGTTAGTAGTAGCTTGGGCTGGGCTGTATCATGCGCAATCATCTCATTAGAACAATTATGAAACTTCACAAGAAAAATGTGGAAAGAGTATGATGCTGCAAGAACAAAGCTTTATAGTCTGGTGAAGTGTCGCCTGCCATCGATAATGATTATCGAAGACACGGTAAGAAAGAATACGATGCTGAAATCGATGCTCTGCTTCAAGTCCTTCAAAAGACTTCAATGGAGCACAGAAGCCAGGACGGCCATGCGGAGTAGAAGCAAGGTACGGTAGCCATTCAACTATCATGTTGGTACGAACGGGCACTACATCTCAGATATACAAATAGTCAACTAAGCTAACGAAGCAAACCAAACTCTCTCTCCTAACTAACTTTTGAACCTTTGAGCCTTTGACATGTGTCTATATATATATATATATAATTCCCAAGACTCTTGGGCCACCACTTGTACTAGTTATCCGACAGGACATCTCCAAGAAGTTCTTGCAGAAAACGCAAGCTATCTCCATTTTATCTACACTATAGGTGGTGCATGCGACAGAGTTGAACGTCAGTCATCCTAGCGCGGCCCTAGAAACGAAACAGTCATGGGGTTGATATTATTGTCGCCAATTTCATTCGGTGGATTACTTTGCTAATTACCATTCTACAGAAATAACTTTCCACAATAGTCAAAAAAAAAAGGGGGGTCTCGTTATGCAGCGCAAGATTGCTTTTGTACACATCTGGGTTGCACCCCAGCTACGAAACTAGTGAATACGGTTGGTAAGAATTCCTTACCCAATTCAACTCACAAATTTGTTACCAACCAAGCAAAGTTGGACAGATATCCCTTCTCATCGCGAACATCTTCGGACCGCAGAAGACTGGAAGGGATGAGATTGGGGAACATTCAGCAGAAGTCGGAAAAGATAAGGCTACAGAGAGCTGTTTCGCTGAAGGGGATCTGCTCTATTTATGCCTGAGCGCTCTCCTGGCCTTTGCCAACCTTCTCGCCCATTTCTCCAAGCTTGTCTAGGATGATTCTTCACTGGGCAGGCTCGCGCATAGCCTGCCGTGAATTCCAATCATATTCCCTGACCTTCCCCCTCGTTCCTCGCCGGCCTTCTGCCTTCAGGAGCCTGAATTCACCTAGCCCTCTCCATGTGGATTCCCTGCCTGCACCTCAGTGACCGATAGATGATTGCATGTGTTTTTCAACACTTGTTGCTGAATGATGTGCCCAGTAATGATGTACTTCTAGTGAATCTCCTCTTGTTTTGGAATGGTCTGTTCCCTCAATCTTTCCTTTCTCTATATCTATCACAAGACCGGCCTGTTCTTGTGTCCCAGGTCATCTTCAGACACAGTCGTGAGATAGCAAGACAATGTCCGGATACAATTGTAGCGAAAGGATGCAGACGTGTTTGCTTCAGGTATAAAATGTGGACATCTCTCATCGACAACCTCAAGCATTCTCTGGAGTATTTTACCTTCTCTCAGAAGGATCACTGCGCGTCGATAAGGGGTCAGAAGCAGCTTGGGCTGTTCTGTGAGCACCGTCATGTTCGCCCTCGCCATCGCCCTCGCCGCAGTCATCCTGTTAGGTTTTATGATCATAACAACAATTCGAGAGTCACAATACCCATAGATGCACAGTGCGTGGCCTACATACTCCCTCTTCTTACGGGTGGTGGCTGGCACAATCTCACATCCATAAAACTGTGTGGCGTTCGCCCGGAGGATATGATAGATAGGCTACCTGTACTGTACAAAGGTCTGGATGATGCGGAGTAGCGGAAAGTTTGGTGGTCTGCTGTTGGGTATTATATGGACTTGGAAATAAGAGGAGCGAATGCATACCGTAATGACTAGTTACATAGTTTGGGATAGATGTATACATTCATTTGGTTGGATGAGGATGCGCTCTTTTACCATTACTATCAGAGTTGAGATATTCGATGGACTATATAAGCCCTCTCTGCTGGTTAGTTGTTATGCACCCATTTTCACAAAACTAAGGTGTAACCCACTCCCATCAGCAGATATATCACCTACTCTTTTAAAATGGTTTTACCAACTTCTTTGATATTTTGGACATACTTATTTTTTTCTTTCCTTTCACTGAAACATATCATAACAGGTGAACACCATCATGTATTGGGATAAACAAACAGGAGCTACAAGCTTGATGCCTGTCACGACTCACATGTTGTTAATGGTGTCAATGGGCGTACCAATTCCTTTCAAAGCTCCATCAGGAAACTAAATAATATAATCAACCTGCACCACAAGCTCAAGGGACTCTCTATTCCGTATTCCGTCCTGATTTAACTAAGCTGGTATACGCTGTAGGTAAACGGAGTTCTTCCTCAGGAACTTTAAGTTGTTGTGGCGCTTCTAATGACCAATCACAAGGCAAGTCGCGCTAATCCAGTCTGGGCAAACGCGGCTAGCCGGCTCGGATAAACCCAACCAATATTTCTCTAGAGAAAACCAAAAATTTTGGACATAGCGGGATCTGGGCGAGGGATAATAGGAGATACAAACAGCTCTGTTTTCAATCCCTTTGGCTTTTTCTTCTTTTTTTACTTTTCTTGAGAGAGCAAGATTTTTTTTATTTTTTTTATTTTTTGTTTTGTTTTTGCTTCTTTTTCAAGATGGAGGAGCAGACGAACAGACCACATCGGAAATCGAAGGAGAAGAAAAAGAAGAATAGGGATCAAGCTGGTATGCAACTCTTTTCCTTCGTTGGAGGTTTTTAGATTTCACTTTACGGGAACGGAGCTCTAAGCTAATATATGTATTACTTTCTTGTCTTGAACAAAACAGGCGCAAATCCCAAGGCTTTTGCTGTCGCGCATGCCGGTCGTCTACAGAAACAGGCCGCTAGGTCTCATGATGTTCGTTGCGCCCCTCCCGAACCCCCTCCTTCGGACTTTTTAAATTACGTTTTGCTGCTCCCAACTAACCGTCCCCGGGGCAATATATAGATTAAAGAAAAGAGACTCCATGTCCCGCTCGTGGATCGTCTGCCCGAAGAGGCGCCCCCGATTATCGTTGCGGTGGTTGGGCCTCCGGGTGTATGTTTGCTAGACTGTGGTTCTTGAGATAAAGGCCTTAATTTTTGTTTGGATACGTGGATGCTAATCTCTCTGGAATCTTTTTCAAAAATAGGTTGGAAAAACCACTCTCGTCAAATCTCTCATTAAGCGATATACGAAGCAGAGCTTGAGCACCCCAGCCGGGCCTCTCACTGTCGTAACGTCGAAACGAAGACGGTTAACGTTCCTCGAATGCCCCTCCGACTCCCTGGCGAGCATGATTGATGTCGCCAAGATTGCGGATATTGTCTTGCTGATGATCGATGGCAACTACGGCTTTGAGATGGAGACGATGGAATTCCTCAACGCGCTGTCTTCGAGCGGGATGCCTGGGAACGTCTTCGGGATCCTCACACATCTCGACCTCTTTAAGAAACAGAGCACGCTCCGCCAGGCGAAGAAGCGGCTAAAACATCGCTTCTGGAGTGAATTGTATCAGGGCGCGAAATTGTTTTATTTGTCTGGCGTTATTAACGGGCGGTACCCGGATCGAGAGATACATAATCTGTCGCGGTTTTTGTCTGTCATGAAAAATCCGAGGCCGCTTATATGGAGGAACTCGCACCCTTATTGTCTCGCTGATCGCTTCCTGGATATCACGCCACCGACAGCTATTGAGGAAAATCCCAAGTGTGATAGGACGGTTGCGTTGTATGGATATCTTCGCGGTACAAATTTCCCCGCGGTAGGTGCGCGGGTGCATGTGCCCGGTGTTGGGGACCTGAGTGTCTCGTCCATAGAAGCCCTACCTGACCCGTGCCCAACACCCTTCATGGACCAGGAAATCGCGAAGGCGACAGGCAAGTCGAGCCGGAGAAGGCTGGGGGAGAAACAGAAGCTCCTTTTTGCGCCCATGTCTGATGTCGGTGGTGTGCTCGTTGACAAAGATGCGGTGTATATCGATATTAAGACTTCTAATTTTGACAGGGATGCCGATGGCGATGAGGAGAGGGGCCTTGGGGAGCAACTTGTTGTTGGATTACAAGGGGAACGGAAATTACTCGGGCAGGCGGAGTCTGGGGTCCGGCTGTTTAGGGATGGAGAGGCAGTTGCTGGTGGAGATGAGGATGAAAAGCGGGAAGTTGGACGGAAGCAAAAACGAACGGTCCGATTCACGGACGATCAGGAACATGGGACGGATGTTTTGGGGGACGAAGATGAAGGCTTCGAGTCAGATGATAGTGCGGAGGGAAATGGAGAAGAAGAGGAAGAAGAGGACGAGGAGGATGAGGACGAGGTCATGCCCCCGGCTGATTTTGAGACAAATTTTAGAGAAAGGCAAAATGGCGCCGCTCGACGTGATGAGGATGATATCGCCTTTGCAGATAGTGATTCTGATCTTGGATCGATATCTTCGGTTGAGGACCAGGAACTGGAGAGCGAAGGTGATCTCGAGTACGATTCGGATGAAGTCGATGATGGAACCCTACGCTGGAAGGAAAACCTGGCTGCGAATGCCAAGGCTGCATTTGGCAAAAGGATTCCTTATCGTGTTGCGGACCTCACAAGAATGCTTTATGACGAGTCGATAACCCCTCAGGATGTTGTCAATAGATGGACCGGGGCGGATGATGATGAACATGATGAGAATGACGAGGACGAGGAGGAGGACGATTTTTTCAAGAAAACGCATGTGGACACAGAGGAATCAGAGGATAGAACTGTTCCCGTATTTGATTATGAGGAGCTTGAAAAAAAATGGGAAGACAATGATAATATCCAAACCATCCGACGTCGGTTTGCCCGTGCTAAAGTTTCCAAGGGTGACGGATCGGATGGTAAGGATGAAGGTGAAGATGACGATGAGGACGGAGAGTTTGATGATTCGGATGACGAAGGAGACGGTGTGTTCGAGGACCTAGAAACCGGTAAGGTCGTCAATGGAGAGGAAGAGAAAGAGGGCGACGAGAACGACGAACCTGAAGATCTTGAGGCGGAGAGAGAACGAAATGCGAAGAGAAAAGAGGAGCTACGACTTCGTTTCGAAGAAGAGGATCGCGAAGGTTTTGGGAAAGCCAAAGATGGACGCGACAAGCAGGATGAGGAGGAGTTTGGCGAAGACGATTGGTATGATGCACAAAAGGCCAAGCTCCAAAAGCAGCTTGATGTCAACCGGGCGGAATTTGATTCCCTCGATGCACTATCCAGAGCGAGGGCGGAGGGGTACAAAGCCGGGACATATGCCAGAATCGTGTTAGAAAATGTTCCGTGCGAGTTCTCAACAAGATTTAACCCGCGCTTCCCGGTTATTGTTGGGGGCCTGGCACCTACGGAAGATCGATTTGGCTTTGTCCAGGTTAGGATTAAAAGACACAGATGGCACAAGAAAATCCTGAAGACCAACGATCCCCTCATATTTTCTCTTGGCTGGCGTCGATTCCAGACTACCCCCGTATACAGCATCTCCGATTCCCGAACACGAAATCGCATGTTGAAATATACCCCTGAGCATATGCATTGTTTTGGTACTTTCTACGGTCCTCTCGTAGCTCCCAACACTGGTTTTTGCTGTGTGCAATCATTCTCGAATAAAAACCCAGGGTTCCGAATAGCGGCTACAGGAGTTGTTCTGAATGTGGACGAGACTACGGAGATTGTGAAGAAGCTCAAACTAACCGGATACCCGTACAAGATCTTCCGGAACACAGCCTTCATCAAAGATATGTTTACATCCGCTATCGAAATTGCCAAATTCGAAGGCGCCAGCATTCGCACCGTTTCTGGAATCCGCGGCCAGATTAAGCGCGCCTTGAGCCGCCCAGAGGGCCATTTCCGAGCCACGTTTGAGGACAAAATCCTCATGAGCGATATTGTGTTCCTGCGTGCTTGGTATCCCATCAAGCCGCACCGATACTACAATCCCGTCACCAACCTGTTGGATGACGAAGATGGACACGGCTGGAAAGGCATGCGTCTGACAGGAGAAGTTCGCCGTGAGCAGAATATCCCCACCCCGCTTGAAAAGGACTCCGCATATAGGCCAATCGAGCGCCCCACCCGCCACTTCAATCCCCTCCGCGTCCCTCGTCAGCTAGCTGCAGAACTTCCTTTCAAATCTCAGATTACGAAGATGAGACCGCGTCAAAGTCAGTCATATCTGCAGAAACGCGCTGTGGTTTTGGGTGGAGAAGAGAAGAAAGCGCGCGACCTGCTGCAGAAGCTCACCACCATGCGCAACGAGAAGATCGCGAAGAGACAAGCTGCGCAGGAAGAGCGGAGGAAGGTTTATCGCGCCAAGGTTGCGGAGAATGCGGAGAAGAAAGCGGAGAGAGAAAAGCGGGAGCGGGATGAGTATTGGCAGCGGGAGGGGAAGAAGCGGAAGAATGATGGTGGAGAGGGAGGGAGAACGGGGAAGAAAAGAAGGTGATGATTATTGAATCATCCCTGGTTTTAATCTAAGTGTTAAAACTACTGTATTGGAGGCGTTCTATATTTACTTGTCGGGCTTTCGATTTGTTACTAGGCCACGATGACATTTTCTTTTGGCCGGAATTTTTTTTTTTTCTCCCTTTGCTACAAAAGCAGCGGTTGGGATGCCAGCATTGTTATATGTGATTTATTGCATAAGGATTAGCTTAGATATATACCTATACAAACGGCCCAGCTTGTTATTTCTCCTCGATATCATTCTTCAACTTGGTGTAAATACACGTGACCTCGTTTTCCATGTCACGTGTTAGCGCACATGACCGCGCCGCGACGCGTCTCGATCCGGCAAGTCGAGACCTCATCCGTGACATGTTGTCCAGCGACGCAGAGCGACGATTGGCATGTGTTGAAGAGATATCTCGAGGCACAGTGCCAGGCTCGTGGCTAGCAAAGCAAACTCGGCTGCAGACGACATTGTCATTGCTGGAAAATGGCTGGTCTCGCTCAGTTTACTCGCGCACACGCTACTTCGCTGTCTGTCCGCTTACCGACCCATTAGTTTTCGTGCGCCGAACCCTCTGTAACCTGGCTGCTGTAGAGAGCTACGCTACAAGGGTGTCAGTTGGTCAGATAAACGTGGCTGAGGACTGCCTTGGTCAAAAGCAGAAAGATCTTGCTTAGCCTAAGGTAGTCTGAGCTAGACTGTGGGCCGTCTGCTTTTCGCGTGACATTATTGCTTGTGTGGAACGAATTATTTTCGACAGTCATTCGTAGAAACCTCCAGCCACGCGACGGCCGATCCGATCAGAGCAACTACCAAAGCAACCGCCATCACCCCGCAATAATATATCAAGGACGCTGGGTACCTTTCTCCTTTTCCGTCCTATTCTAGCCCTCTACCAACTTGGGCCATCTCCAACAGAAAGTATTCTTAACGCTTTCGGAGCCCAGCGGGTGCAATGTACTCGAACCAGCCACCTGTTCCGGCTCCGTCGTCAGGACCCATCAACGACATATCCCTCCCTAACAACGGCCATTCTAATTTTCAATCGGCTGTCCCATTGTGCAGCGACAGGGAAATGACGAACCCGAATTATCCTACTCATTTTAATGCTACGGATACTAACAAGCTATCGTCACCGATTTCAGCTATGAACAACAATATCCTCCCACGCCTTAACACATCCTCCAGCACTATCACCCAGTCCTCCCTTGCTGATGCAATTGACGCAAACCTCACTCCATCGACCCCGTTATCGGGACTCTCAAACCACGACTATGCGCCGCTCTCATTTCCCCGCTCTCCATCGAAAGCTCCCACAAGCTCCCATGCCCATGCCCATTCCCGAAGTGTTGATATCGGATCGCTCCGCTCAGCTGGTCTTCTCAAGTCCACCGTTGTAAAATCCCCAATTGATCGCCGACCGGGGCCAAACACGGCCATCGAAGTTTCGCAAGGACAAAAGAGGACGGCTAGCGGGGATGTGAAGTCGGCTGCTTCCCCAGCCTCTCTCCGAAGTCCAGAAACAGTCACGACTACGCGCCATTCCAGGACAATGAGCACTGATTCAACTGGTAGTAGAATTGCGGAGGTAATCATATACTCGATTAGCAGAATACTGCTCTCTATCCCGCGTATCTTTTGTGCTAACCGGTCATCCTCCAGTTGTCCGCCCAGCTTCGTGCGCGTTTATCTTACGCAGCAGCGAAAGTTGAGAAAGATTGGCCAATCCACAAGTTGGAAGAAGCCTACACAGTACCTCCACGATTGGAATATTCATCTGCGTCGCAGTCTTCCCTATCGTTAGGCTTCAAAAGCCCGTTCCGCTCTCCTAGAGGACCATCGCACTCACGCGGTCGACATAGTATTAGCGGCACTCCACAGCACCATGGATTGTCCAAACTTCGGGATCCTAATTTCACTACCACGATTCCGTCTATTTCTCCAATGAAAGAACCTGCTCGTCGTAACAAATCCTCGTCGCCAAATAGGAATGCCAGGACATATATTCCGCCCACGGCTACTCTCACAAACACTAATACACCGCGTCTTGCTCCACCTGCTGATATTGTATCTGGGAACGGCAATGGACCGCGTCGCCGGCCAAATCCTAATGACGGCATATTACAGACCGCTTCCGAGAGCTATAATTATTATCCTCGAAGTCAGGCACTTACAGATGGAGGATATTCCGCTTCCTCGACCCAAACAACCACTTCGACCGAGGCTATTCTCGACACACCGCCTCAATCGCAACCTCAATTATCTCGCCAGTCTGCGACTCCTTCTTCCACCACCACCGCCGCCGCCGCCGCTGCCAAGACGATGCCATTCCCGAAGCAACGGACACCATCTCAAAATGCTCTAATGGAGAAGGACGCTATCGAAACATTGCTATTCATGTCAAGCCCCGAAAATTCAGGCTATCATCCAAGTTCCCAGCAAACGCAACAAAGTGATTATAGCGGCACGCACCTTACCCTCCCTCCTCCTTGCTTACCTAGATCCTCATCTCAACAGTCCTCGTCCATTGAGAGCCGTTTGGGTCTTGGCATACGCCATGATAGCACCCCGAATGTGACCCGTTCTACCCGGAAGGTTAGTTTTGCCGATGACGATACGAGCAACGGCTCGAGTGATGCGTATCCAAGAAATGGGCCTAGCGGCCTACGGGAACATGAAGCGGGTGATGCGATTGACCGTATGCTAGACGAACTAGGTGATAGCGAGAGTGAGTCAGAAGGTGACTGGCTTACGCGCTTTATGAACCAAAATGGCAGGGGGGAAACATTACAACCGAGCAGGCGTGGATAGATTTTTGAAGCCCCGACCACCGATATATCTAGGAAAGGTTACTGATGTTGTTGAGCTAACGGTTTCTTTTTCCTGGTGGCGGGAATTTACCGTTATTTTCCTTCCAAGAGAACAGCGGAACGTTTTAAGAGGAGAGAAAGTAGTCTTCTTTCACGTTAGAGCTCGGACTGGACCTGTTCTTTGAGGTCGATTTCCGCTTATGAAACAACGATCCCACTACGCTCCCTATCCTCTTGTTTTTTAAAGTCTTACTGTGGGAACAACCTCGTTCCCCTTCTCATTATCCTTTCTCGACTTCATCCAGCCAGGCACTTAAACCCAGCAACAAAATAAACATGGAATTACCCTTCTCCACCTGAGGATATATATTTCCTTCTTTGCGAAATTCGTTTGAATATTCTTTTTATATCCCGTTTCATGGTGTGTACATATGTTTTTTGATTATTTTCTTCACCGCGAAACATGACGACCCGATATGACGTGATATGACAGAACTGATATGACCCGTATTTTTGATCTCTTACTTCTTACCTTCTTTCAATTTTGAACTGTACCGCTATGCATGCATTGTGTATGTACACTTGTGATGACTCCGGCTTATCTGTCTATTTTCTGTTTTGCATTGTTGAATATGAAAAGCTCCTTGATCACCGGCCTTGAATACTTATAATATATGTGCATGCATCCGCTATATTTCTAGTGCCTTGCTAATTTTCTCTTTCTGTGGCTATTCTACGGTTTATTTAGGCACTTGTGCTTGGTTTTGAGTTTTCTTTCTTTTCTATGCCCTCCCTGCTTTTGGGAGTTTTGGAGTAAGGTCACTGTTCTGGAATGCTGTGAAGTTTTTCAAAACTATCACCACTAGTTAATTCTCCTGCCAGTCAAAATCATTCAATTGGCTTGGGCTTTACTCATTTGGCTACATATGTGTAACGTTTCTCTCATCTCACTGACTCTGATCTCATAGTGCTATGACGGGGGTTGGGGCCCATCTATATCGACCACACCGCGTTTGCACCCACCCATCCCATCGCATCGCACCCCATTCCACCCCTTCTATATCTCATCTAGTCCCATCTCAACCCCGCTCAATGCGCCACATACCCCCCGTCAACTGCCAACGTAGTCCCCGTCATCCATCTGGCATCATCCGACGCCAAAAACACTGCGGCACCCGTGATATCCTCCTCTCTGCCCAACCGCGCATCAAACGGATGCATTGAGACTAGGTGGGCGTGGAATGCCCGCCTGAGAGGGTTCTCGCTGGCGGCGTCCGCGAAGGGCTTGATAAGACCTGTCTCTACCCATCCTGGGGCGAGGGCGTTTACGTGACTATGTATTTGTTTATTATTATTATTATTATCATTATTATTATTAGAAAGTCGGAAATTTAATCAGGGGATAGCTTGAAGAAACTGAAGGGGAATAAAGAAAAGGGGGAACACACATTCTATCCTTCGCATATTCCAAAGCCACAGACTTTGTGATCCCAACCACCGCGTGCTTCGATGCGGAGTACGTACTGGAGCTCGCTGCGCCAACGCTCCCGTATACGGAGGCCATGTTGATAATCCAGCCCCTATCACCGCTCGGATGGGGGTCCTGGGCTAGCATATGCTTCGCGGCGAATTCTTTCGTTTGTGGGTTTTTTGGTCAGATTGCATTATTTATACATAACGGGGTTGGTTGCATTGCATTGTGATGGAACGATGGGATGCGGTGTCTATGTATATATATATATATACAAACTTACTGCATCCAAGCCAAACGCCCTTCCCGTTGAGGCCCATGACCCTATCCCAGGACCCCTCGGGGGTTTCATGAATACGGGCTCCGGCAGTTTGGTGCCCTGCGTGGGTCATACCGGCATTGTTGACCATACTATATACACGTATAAATATTTGATGGTTTTCATTTTGTTAGCGCGCTGTTCACACTTGATTTTTCTTTTCGCCTTACGACTACTTGCACAAGGTAAAAAAAGCAAGGCGGTGGTTGTTGGGTGTAGAGAAAGGGGGGCCTCAGTGGAAGACAGTTGGTTGTATTGAGGTCCCCGGGGGGGGAAGGGGGGGGTGGGAGAAGACCTACATATCCAACCTTCCAAATGCTTTCACGCACTCCTTAACCAGGGTTTCTACATCATCGGAAACGGAGGCGTCCGCTTTGACGAATACAGCACGAGTTGCGCCTATACCGCCTAGAACGACAGGGTATGTTTCATTTATGGCTTCGTGGGTGGGTTTGTCACCATCACCTGTGTCAAAATGGGTGTTAGCGGTTATTTGATTCCTTCCCCTTGAGAGTGCTGTGTGGACGGGGTGCGATGGCTTTGTGATATTTATGCAAAGCAGCTGAACCTGATAGTGATCACAGCGATATCCAATTGATGCGTGCCTGGTTGAAATAAAAGTAGCATGGTCGGTACGAGCGAAGGGCAAAGTACCGTACTGAGGCGCTTTTCAAGTACGGCTATTTTCATGAAAAAGCCCTTTGAACTGGCTATTTACAAGCCCAAAACGCTTGAGTTTTCTTGACCCAATGGAGTCTGATTCATACGTCCTGACCTCAACCGAGGGTAATAACAAAATGCGAAACCCAGGCATTCATTTCGAGCAAAGAGTGACAAGAGAACAAGTTAAAACAAACATACCTTTCGGCGCGGGGTTGAGATCTGAGCAGACAACGTAGGCACCCTCAGCAGCATATCTTAACGCAATACCCCTCCCGATCCCATTTGAACTGCCTGTGATAACGGCGACTTTGCCCTGGAGACGCGCAGACATGGCTCGGGTATTGTTATTATGAGGCTGGCGCGTCTATATTATATACCTCATGGGGTCCTTTCCCGAAGTTCTAAAGAAGACACACTCTCCACGGGAATGTAGAGGAGACAAGTAGCTATCGAACTGCGTTTATGATGTTGAAGAGTGCTACTGTAGGAGTGAGGAAAATAGCTGCTAGGTACTGGGAAGGGCGAAAGACAACCACTTTTATGAGCTGGGGATATGTGTCCGGGTATATATAGATACTATTATTATTATATATATTTATATATCTACATATACATGATAGATATATATTTGTCGGAAGATGGAGACCCAATCTCCCCGCTTGGCAAACTCTTGGACAGCGGGGTAACGTAACTATACAGGAGCTACGGAGTACACATTATTGGAGCGAGGGATGGGCCGCTGCCAGGGGAATATTTCCTCCTTGGACTGTTCTGTTTTGGCTTGAGAGGAAATTAACAGACTACGGTGTCTAAGCCAAATGGACGGACTCCATAAGCAACTAACGTTCTTTTATTAGGCCCCTTGTCCGGCGTAACTACCCATATCTCATTCTCAGACGATCATAATCAATCCCTGGCCTGAAACCCAAGCTGACTACGGAGTACAAATCGGTGCAGCTCCCCGCTCTTTTCGTCTGAGGAGTATATGTATACCAACATATCTTACCTCTCCTCTGCACCCACTAGTTATTAGAGATGGGATTCTATCCGGTATTTCTCTCCCACTGAAGGACAGCAGCAGGTCTATTTACGTGCGTATCGTCTTCAGTAGAAGAACTGAGAATGCATAAGTACTGGCCTAATGCGCTGATTAATCTCGATGTCGATATATATAAGCGCCTGGACCAGCTTGGGGTAGAATTCTACATTATAAATACAAAAGTTTGCGACTGGAAACGGGCAGCGAGAGGATGAGGAGCTGAAAGGGAAACGGATGGAGTAAATAGCAACACTAGGAGAGATTGCAAAAAAATAAAAAATAAAAGATATAAAAAGAAATAGCAACCACCGAAAATAAATCTTTTCTCTTCCTGAAGACAGCGATAGAATACAGAGTTAGTAGATAATAGAAATGGGAACGGAAACAACAAAATATCACGAAGCAAATACCTACACAATTCTAGTAATATCAGTAAATGGGAAAAAGAGAGAGAAAAAAAGAAAATGTATAAGCTAGTAGTAACAATGATCATAGATGAAGAGAAAGAAGGAGGAAAATTATGTATCTCAACCCATCAACTTCCTTCCTTCACTCAACTGCCCAGGTATCATCCATCTCCGCCACGTCATAATCAACCTCATGTTGACCCCCCGCATCCTTCCGCAGCATCATCGGATCACTCTCGTTACCCGAAACACCATTATTACCCATATGCGTATCCTCCTCGTCTTCCTTCTTTGCCGCATGCCCATGTCCACTCCCGTGCCCCTGTTGCTGCTCCTGCTGCTGTTGTAGAAGCGGTGGCGCAAATACGGAACCGTCACGGGTCCCTGGCGTCGACGGCGCATTGGCGACCCATGAGAACTCAACTTTGCCCACCGATGGGATATCGGTGGTGCCGTACATGAGCTTCTCGGCGACGTAGCGGTCTTTGAAAGAGACGATTTGGGAATCGGGTTGGTCGGGGTTTGGTTCTATAGATTCGTATTCGCCGATGCCCTGTGGGAAGGTGTTAGTTTCTTTTTCCTTCCTTTATTTTTCTTTTGTTTTTTCCCTTAGAGCCTATCTGGAGATGTTCGTAATGGACGGGTTGCTACATATGAAAAAAAATAAAAATAAAATACATACCAGAAGAAACTGCCTCAGCGCCTCATCCTTCTCAGGATTAAACACAACACCAGATACGGCAACGCGTCTTGGCCGATTGTCAAGCCGTAGCACACCACCCCGCCCTCGCACGCCGCCTCGGCCTCGATATGTCCCAACACCCCGGAGCGAAGGATCGTAACCCCCACGGCCACGGGGCGCAAAGGCACCTCGCCCACCCCGATAACCACCAACCCATCCCCTCCCACGGCCGCCCCGCGCCGGGTACTGCGAGTCCGACAGCGCCGGGTCGAGGCCTAGGCTTTTAGCTTCTGCCTCAAGCGCCGCAAGCTGCGCACGCAATGACTTCGTCTGTTCGCTGACGTTTTCCTCTCCATGTGGAGATGACGACGATGCTTCTGCCATAGATGAATCGCCGGGTGCAGGTGAGGCGCCGTTCGTTCCGTCTGTTTCATGCTGCTGCTGCTGCTGCTGTTGAGACGAGCCGAGTCGTTGGGATAATTTCGCCTTCTCCTCTTGGTGTCTCTTCAGGAGATCCTCCTTCTGCTTCTCGAGGGTTAATCTAGCTTCCTCGGTCTCCTTCCGTTTCTTCATCTTCTCCTCGTGCAGCCGTTGCGCTTCGGCTTGTTGCTTCTCGAATTCCTCCGGGTCAAAGGGTTTCTCATCTGGCTTGTTAGCTAATGGGGATTGAGGATGATGGCCGCCGGCTCCGTTTGTGTCAGCTTTGGATCCCGGCTTGTACCAATAGACTTTCACAAACCGGTTGTCGAAGATTACTTTCGGGCTAGCCCAGGCACGCCGTGCTGAAGCCCAGCTGTCGTACTTCACAAGGGCTAAGTGTTTATACGGCTGCATAGTAACCTCGACAACATTACCAAACTCAGAAAAGAAATCGCGCACGATGGTCTCGTCAAATTTATCCTCCGGGATCTGCTCGACGACAATCGTGGTAATCGATCTATCCTCATTTGGTCCGGCTTGTGAAAATTCCGCACGATTCCGTCGTGGACCACCGAAGCCGCCTCTATCTCCCCTACCACGGCCACGCCCTCGCCCGCCCCGATCACCACCCCGTGAAGGCCCAGCTAAGCCCTGGCCGTTTGTAGCACTCGAACTCCGCGGTCTATCCATGACAATATTGGATTTCGTCGGATCATATTCTGCTACAATAACAAAAAATATATCAGCAAATGAAAGTTTCCCAATTCTAAAAGAGTAAAGAAAAAAAATTAAGATATTTACCATCATCTCTCGCCGGTGCCACCAAATGATCCGTCCCATGCTGATACGGACACGTACTCCCCAACACACAAAACCCCTGTGTGTCATAATCCCTACATCTCTGCGGGATACTAGCCGGCGGCGCGGGCGGCGAAACAGCAGCACCCGCCGCAGACATCTGGTTGGGGCCCGGCGCGTTCGCCGTCGTGGGCAGTTGAGGAAGCGGAGGCATGCCGGGTATCTGCGGGAACCCCATCGCCTGTAGGGTCATCATGGCCGCAATGGGATCGCTGGGGTTGAAGGGGGGAAATCCAGTCGGCGGGGGAACAGGAGGCATTTGTTGGAACCCGCCGCGGGCCTGTTGTTGTTGCTGTTGCTGCTGCTGCTGCTGTTGTTGTTGGCGCTGCTGCGGGTTTAGATGTACAGGGCCCGCTCGCCCGTTGCTAATATTATTATTTATAACCATACGACCATCCCCGCGCCCACCACGGCGACCCCGCATGGATTTGAACGGTCGATCGGCAAGGTTGTAATGTGAATCATAGTCCTCGCCGGCCTGTGGACCTTCGTTGAAGGCGCGTTTTCGATGGAAGTTCGATGCTGAGCTGGCGCCGCCTCTGGTTTGTTGGTCGGGGCCGGCGGGGGTTTGTCCGTGGCCAAATGGAGTCATGGGCATCGTTCCAAGGGTAATGGGTTGTGTCTGCGCAAAGGGTGGCATGGACTGTGATGGTGGTTGCTGTGGCTGCTGTGGTGCAGCGTCCAAATTGGAAGTGGAGGTTTCTGGAGGTTGCTGCAGGCCCGTTTTTTGAACTTGTGCTGGAACAGGTTCAGGTTTTTTGGGGTTGAATTTGGCAAAGATCTCATCGACGAAGGTGGCGGTATCTAAATATCGAAGACCGAAAAGAGAGTTAGACAAGTTGAGGACGTGCTTTATAAGGAGTAGGTAAAAAACTACTGACTCTCTTTCAAGAAATCCTCCAAATTCTCCACTGAGGCTTTCCGTATATCTTCATCGGGGGCATCAGAGCGGATCAAAGCGAGCACATAATCTGCCAATACATCGGAGTCCGCATCGGATCTGGCAAAGGCGGAAAAAGTTAAATTAGTATTCACCGTTTCTAGAAATGCATTCTTCACCAAAGCACCACGGAACGGGTGCTCCCGGGAAGAAAAATGGTAGAAGAGCAATGGAATAAAACACGGACATATCCTCCAGCCTCTTCACAACCCACGCCTTCACCCCAGCCGCCTGCTCCTCCGTAAACTGCATGTTTAAGCGCTTTTTTCTCGGTTGTACAAAAGAAGAAGCGACCCTGCAGCTATGCGAAAATAAAGGGCGGAAGACAATGGAGTTTGTTCTGAATGTCGAATATATATATGTATCGGGGAACAGAAGGTAACGATCGGTAATTCCGGTGGGAAAAGACAGGCTCGTCACGGAATTTAAATATCTCTTTTTTTTTTTTTTTTTTTTTTTTTTTTTTTTTTTTTTCGCGTTCCTTGGGTTTTGTGATGTCCTCGGTTGCTCGCTAGGTCTTGCCCCCTCCTCTTTTGTCCTGTACTCTCTGGCGCACCCGCGATGATGATAGAAGATGGGGGGAATACGAAAAGGAGTTCGCTCTTCGTCGGTCGGTGATATATGTAACGACTGTTGCGTGGAAGGTAAGGTGTCACGCACGGTACGTGTTTCCCACCTGAACCGTTGCTTCAAGAGGATGACGGGAATTTCATCCAAGTCTCTCCTTTTTCTTTTCCTTTCTTTTCCCTTTCCCTTTCCTTTCCTTCTTCCCGCTCAAACCTAGGTCAAACGCGGCGACGCGGGAGGGTAACGGGAGTGCGTTAAAAATGTCGATGTGGGGTTGGTCCGTAGACAGAACAATTGATGGAGGATATGTTTGTTGTTTTTATTCCTGAAAAAGACAAGCAGGCATTCCGGTCATTGTCATTGTTATGCTTAAGTTATCCCCTTTGGCCTTGTTTTATCCTTTCAGACTGTGCCGTTCTTGTTGTCGACGCTCATCAGTTCAAGTTCTCCATTTGCCGCCAACCAAAGTTCAAAGTTGCGCGAATGTCATATCACGTGGTACGTCGCTTAGATTAGTCATTGCTGTTGATGGTTGTTTTTATTTCTTTTTACATTGTTTGTTTTTTCTTCAAGCAAATCGGCCACGGGTAGATAGATATGCTTCTCTGCCTATTTATTTATTTTATTTACTTTTTTCTACAACTTAATTAAAAGGGAAAATGGAACTTCAATAGTTAACAAAAATAAAAAGAAGTAGTTAAAAAAAAAGTTAAAACTAAGACAAATCGCACACAGACAAATAATGTAGGAATTTTTTTCTGGTTTCTTTCTTACAAAAAACAAATCGTCGAATATCGTTATGAAGAAAGAGAAGGGGTGAAGAGAGAGGGTGGAGGGGACTAAAGATTCCGGATATCATGATTATTATTAATTTTTTTTTTTTTTAATTTTTTTGATTTTTGATTTTTAATTTTTTTTTTGAAATTTGTTGACCCTCCAGTTAGTGGTGTTGAGTTTCTATTTATCTGGGAAATTTTTATTTTCCATCGTGGGAAGAGAGAATTTTGAAATTCAGCCCTTTTTTTACAATTTGTCGTAGTACTAGAAACGAGAAAGGGAAGAATGAAATTAGTCAAAGAACTTATGAAATAGTATGAGTAAAAAGGAAAAAGGGAAAAGGAAAAACTCACGTTCTCAACACCAGGAACAACCTCCTTAATACCCTTCCTCTTCCGCATCTCCGTAACAACCTGACCAGGCTTCGTGGTAACATCCAGCGGCGAACCACCGGGCAAGATCTGCCAGTGATCGAAGACAGATTGCGGGAACGCCTGTCCACCAGTCGCGCCACGCAGGTCTGCAGGGAAGCCGAAGGACTCGTTGACGGGTAGATATGCCTTGATAGTGAATAGTGGGGTTCCTGGTCTCTGCTCCTCGGAGAAGACGTGGCCACGACGCCGGGTGAGGACACCGTAGATGCCGCCCATGGCCTGTTCTGGCACTTGGATCTCGACCAAGAAGACGGGTTCTAGAATACCCGGATCTGCGAGGAGGGTAGCAGCGTACAGGACACGGCGGGCGGTGGGGATGATCTGTCCGCCACCGCGGTGGATGGCGTCGGCGTGCAGGGTGACATCGAGGATGTTGAAGCGGACGGAGCGCATTGGCTCCTCGGCAATGGGACCTTCACGGGTGGCCCATTGGAAGCCGGAGACAACGGAGTCCTTGATTTCGTTGAGGTATTGGACAGCCTTGGTTTGGTCAACGAGCAAGTTGGCGCCATTGGTGTCGGGGCCGAAACACCAGATTTTACGGGCGTCGGTGACGTCCCAGCCATGGTCGTCAGCGAGAATACGGGCGCGAGCCTTGAAGTCATCACGAGGACCGATCTTGCCGCTCTCGATGTCTTTGGAAACTTCCTCGGCCAAGGGCTCTGCGGTCACGTAGAGACGGTTGTGCTTGTTGGGGGACTTGGAGAGAGCAGTAATGCTGGAGGTTCCACCGACAGTCTCGCGGTAAGAAACGACCGGGTCGGAAACACGGAGGGGAACGCCAGCATGGTCTTCTTCAAGATCCTTCAAGCAAATTTCCAAATGCAATTCACCGGCACCGGCGACGACGTGCTCACCAGACTCGGAGATGTAGGTCAGGACGCAAGGATCAGACTTGGACAGACGCTTGAGACCTTCGACGAGCTTGGGCAGGTCATTGGCATTCTTGACTTCGACGGAGCGTTGCACGACGGGGGAGACGGAGAATTTCATGACTTTGAGGTTGTGGGCAGTCTCGCTGGTGGTGAGGGTACCGGACTTGAGCAAGAACTGATCGACACCGACCAACCCGAGAATGTTACCAGCAGGCACATCGTCAATTGGCTCGATGAAACGGCCCATCATGAGAATGGTACGCTGGATAGCCTTGATGAACAAGTCCTCCTTGCGGCCAGGAACGTAGTTGGGGCCCTGGATGCGGACCTTGAGACCAGAGCGGATGGTACCAGCGAAGACACGACCAAAAGCGTAGAAACGACCCTTATCAGAGGTCGGCACCATCTTCGAGACGTAAAGCATGAGAGGAGCCTTGGGGTCGCAGTCACGGATACCAATGCAGACCTCATCATCCGCGGGGCCTTCGTACAGAGTCTCGGCACGGTATTTCTGGGCAGTGATTGGGGAGGGGAGGTGGAGCACCATCATCTCCATAAGGGCATCGGCAGCGGGCAGGAATTTCTTCATGACAACCTTGAGAAGAGGCTTGCCTTCCAGATCCTGTTCATCAGAAGCAAGCTTGATCTCGAGCTTCTCGAGGAGGGTGCTGATCTCCTCCTTCTTTGAGTGTGTGATGGCATTGAAGATCTTGAAGATGGGGTCGAGGATGAACTGGTTGAAAGCACGCTCAAGAGGCTTGCCCTCATATTCGCCAACCTTGGTCCACTTCTTGGTCTTGGGGTTGAAGTAGTTGTCGCCCTAAACATTGGGTTAGTAATGGTTATTATGATAATAAAATAATAAAATAATATTTTTTTTAATGATAAATGACAAGCAACATACCCAGAGACGCTCCATCATCTTGTTTCGGTCAACACCGAACTTCTTGGCATACCTGACAGCGAACTGTCGGACAGTGAAAGCCCAGCCGTGGAGACCGGAACCGAAAGCAACAGTTCCCTTGTAAGGGTAGACCTGGACATCACCGAGAGCCTTGTCGAAGTAGGTAGCGATGATGACGTTGACGGATTCGATTGTTCTCGAGAACGACTGGTACAGATCTTCCTTGCTAACCTGCAGCTCAAGGAGGGCACGGTCGACCTTGTTGATGATACAGACGGGCTTGATACGCTCACCGAGGGCCTGTCGGAGGACAGTCTCGGTCTGAACACAGACACCAGAGACACAGTCGACGACGACGAGAGCACCGTCAGTGACACGAAGAGCAGCAGTGACCTCAGAGGAGAAGTCAACGTGACCGGGGGAATCGATCAAGTTGATCAAGAACTCATTTCCATCGACTTTTTGGGGGATATCCTTGAGATCATCTTCATCCCGCAGATGTGCATAGAGGGAGATGGCGGTAGACTTGATGGTGATACCACGGTCCTGCTCGTCCTGACGGGTGTCTGTGAAACGGGCCTCACCGGCCTTTGCGGCGGAGATAATACCAGCACGCTGGACCAGAGAGTCGGTCAAAGTGGATTTACCGTGATCGACTATACACTGTGCGTTAGCAACGTATACTTTCAATGCCTATATAAGAACCAAAAGAGACGACATACCGTGAGCAATGACGCACATGTTCCGGATGTTGGCCGGACGGTCCATCAATTGACGGATCTATAGTAGAACAACAACACATCATTAGTTCCCCGCTGCCATTTTTAACACCAGTGCTCCATCTATCATGACATGTGATATGGACACCAGGCCCTACGCAGCCGTATGAGGTATGAGGCCATTGCCAGGGAGTGAGTATGTGAGAGAGAGAGAGATTTAGCGTACCTCCTCGACGGTGAAGCTGTGGGAGAGAGACATTTGTCAGCATAAGAAAGCCACCCACATCACCCACACAAAAAAAAAAAAAAACACCACCAGCAGTAGCCAGACGAGCGGGGGGGGGGGGAAAGAGGATACACAAGCCATTCTCAATAGCAATGAGAAACAGCATTATAGAGACATTGAAGATATTGGAATAGGTGTTCTAGTAGAGGAGGGAGTTGTATAACGTACTTGACCATCTTGACGGATTTGTTTCGTTAAAAGGCCCTAGAGGCGGGGTTGTGCGATAAAGAATATATTTTTCTTTTCTTTTTTTTTTTTTTTCCCTTGGTTAACTCTGATCCTTTAGCAGAGTGGGAATCAGCAGAAGAAACACACAAGACAGAATCGAGAGCTAGCTCGACCTAGACCTAGGGAGAAAAAGCAGAAGGTTAAGAAGAAAGTTCAGTGGGAGGTTGGGAGGTTGAGGGAGAGAATGAGGAGGAGGATGGAGGAGGGGAAGAAGAAGAGAGAGGAAAAGGAAAGGAAACGAGGAGGGGAGTCGAGTCGGCCGAGCCACACTAACAACTAACTAAATAATAATAAGCAACTCACTCACTCGCCCGTTTCTGCCAGTTCTAAGTTCTAGTTACCAGTTCTTCAGTCAACTCTGCTCCCATTCCAGTAGTTGTTGTCGTCGTATAGGTAGTACGGACGGAGTAGTAGTAAGTAATAATAATAACAGCAACTCGGTTGTCTTTTTCTCTCTCATCAGTCTGTTGTTGTTGTTGTCTGTTGTTGGAATCGCTGAAAAATGGCGGGGCTGCTTACTTTTACTGCCTGCGTAAGTTAGCCACTCACCCCAGAGGTAACTTAGGTAGGTACTGGCAAGGTTCCCTCCAGCCCCTCGTCTGCCAGGGAGTGACCTCGGTGGTACTTACACACACGCTCGCGTGTAAAATTGCCACACTCTCCCTTTCCCACTCATAGTTACTTCTTTTTTGAATATAATAATCGTTGGTAAAATCTTATTATGACTGTCCTCCAAGGCTATTTGTTTCGGGCAACCGAAAGACGAAGTAGAGAGACTCATCGTTCGTCCCGCTGATAAATCAACCCTGGCAGCGGAGGTTACTCCGTAGTCTGTGGCAGCTTATTAAATACTAAATAAAGCAGGAGGAACGGAACGGAGAAAGAGAAACAGTAATAGACACTATGCCCAGAGGAAATATAGCAAACAACGAACTCCCGTTTCCTATTCCCTATGCCCCTATCCCGAAAATACCGAAAATACATGTATAGTTTTATATTAAAAACACCTGATTTTTTGGCTCCTCAAAAAAGAAGAAAAGAGGGGGAAAGAAGTAGAGAAAGAATAAATTAAAAACCATTGTTAAGCCAAAACAATCTAGAGTGAAACTGAAACAACAGATCATCAACAACAAGGAAAGATGTAGGAGTAATAACAACGAAGAAGGCAATGAGTCAAAAGGGTATATAAACACGAACACGGATTGAACTAATAAATAATAATAAGAAGAAAAGAAGAGACCTTCCCTCGAGATGGCAATAAACTAAGGCAACAGCAAGAAGGAAGTGGAAAGCAAAAACCGATCCCCCAACCTACGACGACCCCAAAATCTTCGTATACGCATCCTCCACATCCTTTGCAATCTCCATTAGCGTCACAATAATAATCTGATGCGTGATATGCGGCAACTTATCCCGATGTAGCCCAATCCACTCAAGCGGCGGCGTCGCCTCCCCCATATCCCGTAGCTGCGGCGTCTCAATCACCGGCGGTTCTAGCGCCGTATACACATATCGCGACTGCGGCACGTTGACCACCGCAGTGATTTTCCCCTGGCCCGTATCCTTCCCACCTTCGCCGCCCTCGTCGCGCTCGCGCGTAATCTGCACCGTGGGCTGCGGGAGGGGCTTTCCCAGCCGGCTGGCGAGGGTGTTGGTGTGGTTCGTCCACATGCCCCGGATGAAACTTATGCGGGAGTAGTTCCAGCCGACATCGACTTTGCCTTCGAAGGAGCTTTTGAAGATGTAGTCGATCTGGTTGGAGTGGAGGGCTTGCCAGGTTTCCATGCTTGCGATGACACGGGGTACGTTGAGGATGGTCCCCCCGCGAGATTCCTCTGCGCGCATTACAATGTCGTGGACCGAGAGGTCCTCGGTTGCTGGTTCCTGTGCTGTCGCGGGCCGGCTGACGCTGGATAATGCTACCTTGAGCTGACCCAGTGTGAGGCCAAGCCCGCTGTGGATTCGTCCATTCTCAGCTGCGACGGAGAAACGTGCTTCGGCATCTAGGGCTACGAGCTTGAAAATCTGGTGGTCGTGGAAGGTACCCGGGAACGCCCCAATGTGGATGGATTTGAGAAGTACCACCACCTCGGTGTGCAGTGATATCGGCATCTTCTGGCTATCCTCGTCGACATTCTTTGCCAATGGAGTACCCACTGTTTGTTGCAAATCGCCAAAGCCGATAGTGGATTTCCGACGCAAGAATCTTTCAATCTCTTTTAAAGACGATTGATACGCAGTCTGTTTCTCTTGCAGAAACCGTTGGAGCGTTTGGTAGAGAGCTAGCCCTTGCGAGGCAGTGAATGAGGTGCATAATACTTGAAAATTATCTCCTTCGAGAACGCTGACGAGATAGTCCTTCTGGGATGCAGACGTGTTCCGAACGTTGTACATGCAAAACGCGAATGATGTTACATCCGCCACCAAAAATGGTTGATACTCGAAAGACACTTTAGCCTGTAGCCGATTAAACCCTGCTGATGCTTGGATCAAGGGAGTCTGGTATGATTTTTGATCATAGTCTGGCCATTGAATAGAAGTTCGAACCTTGAACTCCTGCAATCCGATGGCGCCGCTAAGTCGCCCCTTGCTTTCAACAGCAATATCTTCAAATCCAACACAGAGATTCTGCTCCCAATCAGATGTTTTCTTCGACGATAACCACAGATCCTTGATAGTGAATTCCGATTTGCCCAACGTCTGGCCTAAATCAAGGGAGATATCTAGTTGCGTTATCGCAATCACTGCATTCCAAGGGAATGAGCCCGTAGCAGTCATCTGCTGATATCGCTGCACGAGGTATGCTTGCGTGTCAGTCGCAGGTGGTTGGGGGTTAACTGGTTGCCCTTTTGGTGGACCTTCGGGCGGAATCCATATCTCACGGAACAGGAGAAAGTCCTGGACTTGTTTGGCATTTACCTGAAGCTTCGTAGGACTGATCTTCAGGATTGCTGAAATCCCGCTGTTAGAACTGACGTGCTTACTATTCATCATCGACATAACAATAGAGTCAACCGTCAAGCTAGCAGTGGATTCGCTCGAGTAAACATGCTTGACCGAAGCCTGTAACGCGTTAAATGCCAAAGACATGGCAAAAAAACGCCTCTGTTCCGCCGATTGGACGGTGTTGACTGTAATATAGCTGTCGTCAAAACATGCAGTTGCTAAAACCCGTGCGATTGGTTGGCAGCTGAGAGTGAATTCCTGCCTGCAAATGCGCAGTCCAACATTTAACTTGCACCGTCCAAGGATGGTTGTAGGGTCATTTTTGTCCGGAGGTTTCTCAAAGGAATGATCTTGGACAGGCTGGCTTTTGCTGGACAGATCCTTTGATCCGTCTGATTCTCCCACAATTTCTTTCACACTCTCAGATATCTGAGTGATTAGAGGTACAAAGGTGGGATGGAGGACATTGGTGGAAGCATCCACCTTCATTTCTGCATTTAACGTAGGCTCTCCATCTCCAGAGTCTTCGAATTGAACCTTTAATGCAACCCCGGGAGCCCGGAGTGTTGCTGTAGTTTCAGTATCCTGTTGGATATACTGACCGTACTTGCCTCCACCAGCAGTTCGATTACTTCGCGCCGTTGGTGAAACTGTACTTGTCGCCATGTCGTCCTGTCGGCCCTGTAAACTGACCACAGCCCCAGAGAAATCTGCATCGATAAGTAGAGAAGCGAGCCTAACAATTCTCGGGCTAGAGCTTGCCTTTTTCTTTTCCGGAGGGATTGCCGCGCTCCACAGTCTGATTGCTTTGCGCAGATTTTCACTAGCCAATGCAATCGAATCTTGAAGAATGCTTGCGGGCAGAATGAACTCTGATGTCATTCGAATATCCAACTCTTTACCCGCCGCTTGGAATGCCAGTCGGCGCTCATTTCCATTGGACAGATACGCAACATTGAACACGGCCTCGGGTAGAAGGGCAGAATTTCGTGACCGCTTCCTCTTATCCATCTGCAGAGGAACCATTTGAAGCTGCATATCTTCAATTCTTAGACGGGCGGCACTTTTTCTTCTGGTCGCTAGCTCTACCTTGCGAATGGAAAATACGAGGTCCTCTGGTTGTCTACCTTGGTGGCAGGAGGCTGGTGTAGAAATCATCCAGCTCACTTGGATATTAGCGAGGACGACGGAGTACATAGCATTGAACAGACTTTGTGAGTCGGGTTGCTGGCCACGGGCCTCCATGGATGGTCTCTTTTCGGTTGCAGTTATTAGTCGTAGTTTCCTGAGGTGCTTGACCTCCTGGGATAAATCGAGAGTCTTCAGTCTCTCCTGGAGGTGGGCGGCGATGTCAACAATCATCGATGCTGTTTCAGCATATAGTTCTATTTGTAAACCGTTGTTGACCACGTCGTAAGATCGCACAACATCACCGTAATCATTTATCTTTGAAGTTCCGAATATCTGAGCGTCGAGAAGTAAGCTGCCGTACGGTTGTGTGTTTACTTTGTCGCGTTTCTTGAGGTCGAAAGTAATGCGAGAGAGCAAGAGGTTGAATTCAGGGTGATGGAGAATGGGTCCACTGAGAGAGGCATTCTCTAAATGGAATTGAACCAAGCCGACTGTAAGGTTCATGTCGGCGGAGTAATCCTTACTGCTCAAACCAGGAGCAGTTGCAAAAATATCGACACCAGCCAATGTGAGTCGTACTTTATATACGAGGTCATGGGCGGCTCGGTCAGAAGGTTTCGTTTTGGGTGAAGTACGCCCGCGAGAAACGAGACGGTCGAAGTGCTGGATAAGAATCCGAGTATCGTGCTCCAAGTCTGCCAATAAATGAGATATTTCTGGTCCATTTAATGCACCGAGCAGGTTCCGCACGGCTCCCGCATCGACTTTGGTCAGCTCAATAATTGTATCGATATCCACGGACGTACGATTGGGAGGTGTAGCAACCATGATACGGCCGTTGATTGGTGGGATATCAAGTGCTGAAATGATA